CATCCTCGAATCTATCACTCTCCGAATGGTCTACGTCAACGTGCTACGTACGTCGTATTTTATCGTGGAGCGAGATGGCCGACAGCTGCGCGGCCTCGCCGGCCGCCCGCTCACGGCAGACGAGAACGAATGCATTGATCCGCGGCGCTATCACCTAGCCGCCCTGCCGGTCGCCGTCACCAACCAACACTACCACCGCCAGCAGAGCAGCACCACCAACAACATTGAAGATGGCGGTGGATCAAACTCTCCTTCGAACGGAAAAATCACTTGGTTTATTGACAACCAAGTTCGTAGACCTCTTGAAAGAAGCCCCAGAAGGTGTTCTAGACCTCAAAACAGTAAGTGGAGGCGTCGCGGGGCATCGGATCCGAAATGACACCGCCTGAAGGAGACTGTCCTTCGGCGGGAGGGGATTCAAATTTGGGTTGGCCGCGTCTAGACCCGAACGAAACCGCCAAGTTCAAATTGGTTGAAGAATCATGTTCATCTCCGAATCCACCCACCGTTGCCATATACTTATCGACTCATCGTTGCCTGATCGAATCCTCCCACGCCCCTGGAGCGAATTGCGATTCGATTATTCAGTCTTTCCGAGTTTCGTCGCGCCTCCTTCGCATCGTCTTGCGAGCCGGTCGCAATTTTCTTCTACGGGATGAGTTTCCTTGCCTGGCTGCGATTTCGGACGCCCAGCTATCGGATGGGCTGGGGAGCCGGTCTAGATCTTCAATCACGATCGGATGGGCGATTCATACACGATCAGGGGACAATGAACATACAGCCGCGACTCCCGCCTCCGAATGTGTCCGGCGCCACGCTCTCTAGATCCCGAGGGCGCGCTTCTCGAATATAATTTTCTGAAGCTCAACGCCGGCCACCGCCAAATACTTACGATAAAGCTGAATCGATTCGCAGGCAGTCGAGGTTCTCGAAGTACGTCAGAAGCGACGGATATACGATATCACGAATGTACTCGAGGGCATCGGTCTCATCGAGAAGAAAACCAAAAATTCAATCATATGGAAGTGAGTATAGGTTCTTCACATTACCGATACCGCACCGATGTGCACAAAAAGTGATCGCCCCTGTGACAGGGATCCTAGTCGGGCTCTGCGTAACGACTCTATATTTTGAAGGGGAGGCGGTCCGGGATGCAATACGGAGGAACTCACGCAGCGCCGGCTGGAATTCTCGGCTCAGGTCGAGGAGTTGAAGAAGATCGAAGATGCCTTGGACGATCATCTGAAACAGGCGAAACAGTCTGTTGTCAACGTCAAGTGAGTGATAGATGAACGAACCAAACCCTCATTCTTTTTTGTGTTGCGCGGCCGGAATTTCTCCCCGGGGGTGAATGGCGCCACGCATCGATCTCACCCGCCTAAATCCACACAGGGAGGATATATCGAATCGGGGGAAAGCCTACATATCGTACAGAGACTTGTGGGACGTCATGGAAGCCGGGAGCATCTTGACGATTCGCGGACCTGCCGACACGACCCTGAAAGTTTTCGATCCATCGAGTCACCGTGAGGAAGAGACAAACTCGTTTTATGTCCACTGTAAAAGCGACCACGGTCCCGTGGAGGTCCATCTGATAGACAAGGAGCCCAATCCGTTGGGCACCAACGTCGCGAGGCTCGAAAAAGATGAAGAGAAGGCAGTTGTGAACGTGGGCGACGCTCTGGAGAGTTTGATCAAGGAAACGATCACAGAGGAGAGTGAAACGAAAGAGAAACGAACTCTTAGTCCGGCGAAGAAAGTACGTCCAGAGGAAGAACAAACTCCCGTGAGTATTGGCTTCTTGGGGGAGTCCCCCGCGCATCGCTTCAGAGACATTTCTAATTGTTATCTTCGCAATGTGCTCTATGAGATCACCGTTTTCCATAATCCCCTCTCTCATCAGACGCCCGGTCGGAAAAGAACACGAGGCAACGGCGCATTGTCGGCCTCGACCCCGACGGCCATAGATTCATCAAAACCTCCCAAACAATCGAAGAAAGACGAGGCGATTATCCCAATCACAGAAACCGAAGAAGAAATCGATATATTCAAGGTCAGCATCCATGAGGGACATAGACGCTCGATGTCGGCTGTGCTCGGAATTGAGTGATCCATTTCTCCCCTTACTCCTTGCAGGATCTGAAAGACTACGATGATCTCCTGATGAAATGTACGCCACCGTTCACGAGTTTGTCGCCCCCGCTGAGTGAATATGACTTCAACTTCACTCTAGACCCAGAAGAGGGGATCTGCGAATTGTTTGGCGAAGAGTAATGAAATACTATCGCGGTCGGGAGGAATACATCATCATCATCACCATCATCGAGAAAAATGATTAGGACGCTTTTCACCGCGAGAGCTGTCACCGTTAGAGACGTGCGAGCTCTCTAGATGTGAAATTATTCGAAGACCCACAAATAGGAGCGCGTGTGTGTTCAGTCAACGCTACATCATTATGTCTGTACAAATCGAGGAGAAAGCGTAGCATAGGTCAACTCCGCAGCACCAGAGAAAAGTGAATAAAAGGCTTATCTGCGGATTCGAGCATTCCTTCAGCGGGTTGCTGGGCAACACTCACGGATGCCGGCGGCTGCATTGACATCGGGACTGCATTGACGACGAAAATCAGCGCTGGGTTGAGACTACATGAATGCGAAAACCACGTGAAGTTCGCTCGAATTTTTATAGGAGTTTCTCGAAAAGTAACGAGCCCGAGCCACAAAATCATTGGCACTAATATAGCCAGAATCGTCAGCAGTATCAGAATCTACACAGCTCCTTTGAAAGGTTCCACCGAAGATTTGAGGTCTGCACGACGCCACCCAAACGGAGCGAAACTTTAGATTAGAGTGCATCGTTTCGTAGGGTTGCGTATTTATGAGCAACTGGCATTGCTTGGTCATTTCGCGGTGCCGCAGAGCTCAGGAGACTGTTTGTCTCCTCCTGGGTCCTTATGATGGTCGCATCACAACGACCGTGCCCGAGAGCGACTCATATACGCGAGACAGTTCGCGTCGTGTCTTCAGAGAGACGAACCGAGAGACTGATCCTCTTCGCAGGAGGAGGTGTTGACGTAGAAAATATTCTGCGGTAGATTAGGATCAGGCAATGCTGGAAGCAGAATACATTTGTGACGGATATTCTTGAATGGATCAGGGACAGCAGGAGTGAGGTCTCTCGTGCACCTCGGAGTCGCAATTGAAATTGCATTCTTTTGTCTTCTTGCAAGTACATCCATTGCGCGATTTAGACAGCCTGCGCCATCACGAATCTTGTCGACGGGAGCGAACTCGAAAGAATCAGGTTCCCTTATTCGGGGCGGGAAAGGAAATTTCACAGCAGTCAGTGTCGAGATGATCTTCGCTCGAAAAATCGCGCATCGATACGCGCGGATCATCCTACGCTCACCAAGTTTCATCTAGGAGGAAGGAGGAAGCCGTCCCAGACAGCGCGGCAATGACCGTTAGATTGGGCTGATTGGGCTCCTCACCTCCCTGAACCCTGACCTTTTCATTCCCCTCTCGGTAGATTACTGCTCCAGGCTCACAGCCTCTGTCCCTTGTTCATCCGACGCTAATCATTAAGATCGTTCTGATGTCTTCTTGCTCGAGGCTACCTTCAAGGTTTTGTGCCCTCATTTCTCCCTCTTAGTCTTTCTTTCGACATAGGAACATTTCGGCGCCTGATGCTCTTCGACATCAGTCCCCAATTTTCTCTGGAGTCTAGCATCGTTGCCGTATTACTCGGTTCCGTGATGGGTATTCCTTGAGCAGTGAACCCTTTGAATTTAAGGATGGTGTGATCAACATCTTCTAACTGAGCTGCCTGTTTCGCTTGCCAGGCACTTCTCTGATTCCGCTCTTTCGAAGCGATGCACGTAGCTGCGAAACTTGATGCGGCGAGATGATGACTGGAAGATATCCCGCGATGTATATATTCGGGGAACAGCCGCAGCATCTCGATGTTGAAACGTCTTAAAAATCTAGGGGGATTATTCCGCAGAAATTCTTCTCCATGGAAACGAATCTCGTCCGCTTTTGCAGCACTATAACTCATGGAGTTCTCCACTGATTCCCGCTAGACAAGTGTCAGAGGATTGCATAACGGGAGATGAAGACAGACGCAGGACAATCGGTCCTGTATCCTTGCGATGCTTCTTCGGCTCGATTCTTATCCCCCCTCGTAGAGTCCTGAGAAAGCTCATGAATAATTGTTGATTCAATTTCGTGTTTAGAAAGATGAGCTCTCGTATCGTCATCAGCCGTCTCAAGTGGAGGAGATGGTGTGGTTTGCGCACGCTTCGGAGTTCGCCGATGGCATCTCTCGTCAGGTGGGCGAACGAAACAATGGTTAGTACACCATATTCCGAGTTTCTCTCGAGGGAAGACTGCCGTAATCCTCGTAGACATTCGCCTGCGGAATCCATCTGATGGAAATGGATTTCGCTCTTTTATTTAATCCGCTAAGCTATGTATGTACAGTCAGAAAATTCATGTGAGTTGCGACAAGCAAACAAATGAGTTGTTGAAGTTTCCGAAGGAGCATTTTCCTGAATTCAGGAGAAGCTCGCAGCCTGCATTCATCGAGAAGAAAAATATATCTCTCTGCGCGTTCCGACCTTGATTTTCCGTGTTCCATGACTCCTACCCTCCCCAGAAGTTACAAAATTACAGCTCGATGCCGCGAGGGATGGAACGCGACAACGCCTTTACAGAGAGACCATGTGGAAGAGAACGGTTGTTGATGCTCCGCGGGTCAGCTCAAAGCTCGTTGTGTTTCGCGGGATTTTCTTCCTCATCAAGGGACACATCGGAGAGATCAATATCGTCGGGCTCATCAAGCTTGCCGTCTTTTCCGTCCCATGCTTCAATCGACTGGACTTCGGGCAATTTCGCTCCAGCCACAGGCGCGCTGCGTCCTCTTCCGAAGGAAACTTCCCGGAGGAACTCGTTGATTCCGTCGAAGGAGAACGAGCCACGCATGAGCGAGTACTTCATCTTACGTGAGTTCATGACAGCGAGTGCAGGGTAGCCAAATCCTCCGATCTCGAGAGCTTCCTCCACTTTCGGTTGAGCCATGGCTTCCGACCATACCCAGCCCCATTTCTGTTTCTTGTACTTTTCGGCAAGCTTCTTGAGCTCGGTGATGAAATCGTTCCGGCATGAGGACTGGCAATCCAAGATGTGCGGCAAGACGGCCACGATGCAGAGCTGATTGTCCGAGCAAGCGGCGTTGAGAACCTGAGGGAAAAGAAGGAAAACATGACCGTCAGAGAGCATCAAGGAGATGAGCGACGACGAATGTGAATTATTTCTCGCGACAAACGGATAAGTGCAGAAATCCGCTGCAGAGATCACTCACCTTTTCGTTGGTAAGCTGGACAACCTCGGGTGGAGGAGCGTTCTCGGCTGCTTTCTCAGATGCCCAGGCAACGATATCGTCTGCAGTTCGGCCGCCGTTGTATTCCTCAGCCGAGTTGCTGTCCTTAGGTCCAGCGGGGAAGTATTTGATCGTCGGATAGCCGCGAACGCCGTATTCCTGAGCGAGTTCTTGGTAGACCGTGGAATCAACGGCTCCGAGCTTCACTTGCCCCTTCAACTGAGTTGCGGCCTTAGCCCAATGAGGCGCAAGGTTTTTACAGTGTCCGCACCATGGAGCGTAGAACTCGACGAGCCAGATGTCCTTCGAGTCGAGCACCAATTTCCGGAAGTTCTCCGACGTCAGTTGAACCACGTCTTTGTCGTTTCCTGAGCCCCCGGATCCCGACGATGAACCGCCAGATCCGGAACTTTTGCCGAGCTTCTTGTTGACAAGATTTTTCATTTCGCGGAGAACGGCATCGGCGATGCCATCAGCGGTTCGGGCGCCTTGGTATTCGATAGGTTTAGAATTTCCAGGTACGAAGATTTTCAATGTGGGAAAGCCTCGGACTCCGTATTGACCAGGCAGAGATTTGTGTTGGTCTGCGTCCACAGCTCCGACTCCAGCAATGCCCTTGAGAGCTCGCGCTGCTTTTTTGTATTCGGGTGCGAGATTCTTGCAGTGACCACACCAGGGTGCGAAGAACTCCACTATCCATACTTGGTCTCCGTTGAGGACACGCTTGCTGAAAGTATCCGGTGTCAGCTGTAAGAAATGAGTATCGGTTAATTCACATTCCTTGGATTACGTCTGGTGTGGGAAGCATCTTGATCAAATCAGGCGATGAGGAATTCTGCTCCTGACAGTTCAAAGATCGATTTTGCCCTCAAAGTCTACGGCCGTTGACAACGATGACGCTCGACCGGATGAAGCCCAGTAAAAGGAGCTCCGAAACCGCCTTGCGGTCGGGGTCATCGGCCTGGACCGTGGAACGCGACAATACACGGTCCTCGGCGAGCGTGACATTTTACGGGAACTCATCGTGCTCTCGTCGCTGAGACACGAATTCCTGAACACATGGTTCCTAGGAGTTTCATTGTTAGTCCTTACGGAGCCCACAGATCGGAACCCTTTGTCACGTCACTAAGTTGACGTGTACTTTCGGGAGCGATGTCTGCATCGCGGAAAATCGTCGAGGATGAAACGGCAAATCATGACCGCGTGGGGACGCGGCACCGATCGGAGGAAGAACAGAGCCTGCCCCCTATTCACACCGGAGGATCGTCAAAAAAAAGTTACTCTGAGGTTGGGTCAAGAATCTCTGGACTCACCTCGACGACATCGTCTCTGGAGTCGTACAGAGCGTTCGCTTCGAAAACGACGCCGAGCAGACCTATGATGAAGATACAGGCTCGCATCACGATTATCGTTGCTCCGTTCCCCGAAACCAGTCCTTGTCAATGTTTTGAGATTCCCAGTTCGGTACGCGCTGCTCCTCTCGAATGCAAGACGATGAATGGCAATCACACTGTCGACGACCAACGCACTCGTGCCGGGTGTAGGAAGTTTGGCTCTGGCAGTCGCGGATGAACGCATTCCTCCGAAAGGATACGTCAGCCGTCAAGCCAGGCAGCCAAATTCGGGATGAACCCCGCCGTTGCCTTATCGCTTATCACTACGGTATATCGCTAGGATTTTCTGGCCCGGAGATTCTACCTGACGGAGTTCCGGTCCCGTATCCTCGCCGGAAGATTCTAGAAGACTCCTAGATTCTAGAAGACGCGTCAAAACTCGCTATCAGACTAATACATGGATGAATCGCTGAAACTGATCGAGGTCTCGAGTTTCAATCCTGATTGGCTTAGAATTTTCGGAGAGATGTTCCTCTTGGCGCGAGGATATCCTCTGGAGAAATTCCAGCACAGTTTCCCTGAACGGGATCCGAGAGAGATCTCTCACCAATCGGATGCCAATGCAATGGGAATATTATGTCTTTCAGAGCGATCGTAGGCGTCTAGTTCCATGTGCAATGCCTCGGAGTCTACGAGCCCGGGCAAGCTAGTCTTATCAGGAGCCGCTCGCTGAGCGCATGGAGGAAGCTCTCGAAATGCAGCTAGAGCACCCCTGCTTTAAAGACTCGGGACTCGGCTCATCGTAGGGTCCACAGTCTTCATCACAACTGACTCTCGGTGTCCAACTGCGAAGGATACCGTCCCCAAGATAATGGCATCCGAACCATCATGCTCGACCGATTCAAGAAACAGTCTCCCCTCTCACTCACGCATACTCAGTGAGGACGCTGATTTGGAAATTCCCGATAGGTCATCGCGGCAGAAACACATTTCGTAATCGAGACAAATGACGTTGACAATGATCGTTTTTTTCCGCAGAAAATGAAGCTAGGAGCATGGTATGGTATCATTGTTTCATATTTCCTCGCACGAAACTTATTTTGAGCGGGTAGGATACCCCGACGCAGTCTCTCATCGATATCAATGTGAATCTTTAGCTTCGGGAGCATTTTCGATGCGAATAATTTCCGGTCTCATTGCTTTCTTGTGAACTTCCGAGTATGAAGAGGAGATTCGCACCTTGTAAGCGACCGAGTCGGCAAAATCCTTCCTAGAGGCGGATAAACTTCTTCCCATTCAGCTCGAGCCGGAACCCTTGAAGGAGAAAAAATCGGGAATCCGATTTCGCAAACAGCGAGCTACGATGTGAGAAACGACTGCAATATGAGCGACTGTTGACCCTCATATTCTTGCACCGTCCCCCTCAGGAAAAATAGTCGCGAAGGTCAATCGCGCTTTTGTCTTGGGTGTGGGTACGGCCCGTGGTGGATGAGAAGGCCCAGGACCACAGGAACTGGACGGCCGTCTCTCTCGTGCCTGTGGAACAAACAGGGAAAAAGACTTGATTCGATCGAGGCAGAACTCTCCGGTGCAAGAGGGCCGGGCGTCTCTCTTCCCATGAAAAAGGAGGATGATCGCTCGACATTCGTTCCGCTTAGATCAGGGATCCGCAACCGGGGGTCCCGACCCCGAGGGGGGTCTCGGAGACCCCCCCGGGGGAAGGGGGGGTACTGGGACCCCTCCTTTCCAGCCTTCGCTCCGAGCTTCCCTACGAGTTCTCGTCGATCATAAAGACAAAGCTACGCTGTAGATTGGATGTTCACGCCGCTCTTCGTCTCGCGGTCACGGATGCTCAACCCGATCTCAAGTCGCGTGTTTAAGACAAGCAGAAGCAAATCTCGCATTGAAATTGAAGGAACGAGTATTGTACGGAATAGCACCATACTATAATCGGAAGATGTGGTGATAAAGAAAGTCGATCTCAATTTTGAAGTAGGTGTTCTTCTCAGGGGGTCGCGAGGCAAAGTGGTCGTCCGAAGGGGGTCGCGGAGCCATCCCTGGCTTAGGTCGTGGTGTCGCCTCTGAGGGAGTTGTCGGAGAACTTGAAGCTCCGAGTTCACCGATTAGACCCATCTAGGCACTCAGGGAAACCACTCTTGGTGTCAAATCGTAATTCCCGCGGAATTATTCGCTAATTGAGCACCATAAGCGCGGCGGCCGCTGGAAGGAGTGGGTACCATCTGGTGGCAGGGGTCCGAAGTTCGAATGTAGAAATCCATGCAACGATGATCTCTGCGGAACGTTCGAGCCCTGTCGGGCGCTCCCATTCCCTACTCGGCCGTGTGAGATGAAACATCCGCAGAATCACGCTTATCAGCCTATCCACCTTGGATGCAGGCGGTAAGGATCCGGCTGAGGTCTTCGGTTTCAGCGGGAATTCATTTCCGTAGATTTCTCGCTACGAACACGGAATCTCGTCGTTTCTGGGTCGTCCTCAAGAAGAGCGACCTCCGCGGATGTGCTCAAACCCACCAATATGGTGTACGCGGGCCCGCACGCAGAACTGAAACACATCGCATCCTGCGAGAGTTTAGGTTCCTAACCCAGACATCGACCATCTGAGGATTCCCACTCCAGGGGAACAGCTTGATCCACAGTGAAGGATTTCATTAAGACATTCACGGACCCATCTCTGCCTTGTCGATAAGATGATATCCTCTGATTTTTCGGTTCATCGAAAACCGGGGGCTGTCAGTACGGCATTACGACACTGTGGGGGACTCAATGGCTCCGGAAATCGCCCCAGCAGAAATCGACTAGAAGCACCACTTGCAGTGGAGCGATTCTCGAATCTTCACAAAATCGAATCTCCATGAGAATGTTCTGCTCCCCAATTAGGAGGGCCTGTGGGGACGAAAATCATGTCTTCAGACTTCTGGACCTTTGACGATTTCACCTCGCGGATCGCGCGGAGCTGTGGGGGCCGCTCGATCTAGCCCAATCTTCTCGCCGCGGGAAGCCGACGAGAGCGTCGAGCGGCTTCGTCTGCTACTTGACGTCGCACAAAGGAGCGCGTAGCGTCTGTACAGAGCGCCAGAGCGGAGTGCCAGTGCGTGACCATCTTGAGCTCTTCAAAACATCGAGAAAAGTGAGTTCTCTTATCCCTCATTCGACTTAGTCAGCAGCGTTTGGCTCACTGAGTCAGCCAGAGGTCGGGGCAGCGTTCGCTGGATGGACCTCACCTGGATTATTCCCTGTGATGTACATAGGAACAACATCCGCAAGGAACAGCTGATTTGAATGACGACCTTGCCATTGATTTCCGGCAGCCAGCCTCTTATCGTCTAGTCGTATTCTTACTGCCATAGCAACCTGTCAGCGCATTATTTTTGAGTTTCCGTGGTATGCAGTGACCACCGGTGTACGTCTATCAAGTGCATAAGGGAGCTGCACTATCGATCACCTGTTTCTATAGAGGTCCCGCGAAAATTTCGTACGAAAACTCTGGCGCGGACGAGCGCCATGAGTACCCATTGTGGAATTCGGATCTCGACCGACAAATGAGACCTTGAGAATGCTGCTCTCTTCCCGAGGGCTTTCCGAATATGCCTCCTTGTTTCGGGATTTGCTCGTCTCCGGCCGATGGAATCGATGGGATTTGGTGATATAACAAAACTTTGTCTTCAAGATGTTATCGAAGGTTCAGCTTGCTCGGCATATCGGACGTCGATGCCTGTCATCCGAAAGCACGAAACACTGTCAATTATTGATAGTTGGCGCCGGATCAGGAGGCTTGGGGGCGGCAGCGATACTCGGAAAAAAGTTCAAGACGACGATATTGGATCCGGCAGATCATCATTACTACCAGCCGTACTTCACTCTCGTCGGTGGAGGCCTCAAAAGTCTCGATGACTGCAGAAAACCCATGGAACAGGTGATTCGGTCTTCGAATTATCTTCCAACATTCTTATGTATCCTGGTTGAAAATTTTCCTTCGGCCGCAATATATTCCTCTCGAGCGAAAGTCCGAAATCGAAAGAGTTTTCAAACGCCTCATTCCAGGTAATGCCGACCAATGTTAAATGGATCAAAGAAGCCGTGGACAGTTTCGATCCATCGCAAAATTTCATAGTGACGAAAAACGGAACTACAATAAAATACGACATGCTCGTGGTGGCGACCGGCATCCATCCAGACTTCTCGAGCATTCCCGGACTCGAAGAAGGCTTGAAGACCCCGAACGTCGGCAGCATATACTCTCCGGAGACGGCTCCCAGGATGATTGAAGTGCTCAAGAATTTCAAAGCAGGCAACGCGATTTTCACTTTTCCCGCAACGCAGATCAAATGCCCCGGAGCCCCTCAGAAAATCGCATATCTGACAGATGAGTTCCTGTCTAAAGCCGACAAGCGAGAAGACGCGAAAATTATCTACAATACGGCTGGAGGTGTTCTCTTCGGAGTGAAGAAATACGCCGATGCCCTCTGGAAAGTCGTAGAAGAGAAAGAAATAATTGTCAATCTGCAACACAATCTCGTTCGAGTTCGTCCAGACATCAGAGAGGCCGTCTTTGAGAGAGCCGACAAGACCCGAGTTTCCATGAGCTACGAACTGTTGCACGTGACTCCTCCGATGTATCCTCTTAGAGAGGTTGCGCGGAGTTCTCTAGCCGAGGCTACGGGCTTTGTCGACATCGACAAACTGACTCTACAGCACAAGAAATTCGACAACGTCTTCGCAATAGGAGACTGCACCAATGGTCTTCCAAAAACCGCAGCAGCTGTTGCGGCGTGTTTGGGTGTCTTGGCCGACAATGTCGTTTCCAGATCACGAGGCGAGGAATTGAAAGCGGCCTATAACGGCTACACTTCGTGTCCGCTGACCACGGGTTTCGAGAATTGCATTTTGGCGGGTGAGTACTGGAGCCGGGCCGATTCGAGCCACCCGATGGCATTGAGGAGAATCGATGCCCCTTTGGTGTACAGCGTCCGGGATAATTCGGTTGCTTTCCATCGTATCTGAAAATAGCCAAAGTGTACCCTATCCGAGCGAACCACCGTCTGGAGGGATCATCCGAGGTGAATTCGAGTAGTCGGACCATACAGCCTAGGGACCGTCTCGGCTCGTTCCGATTTCGGACGACCTGTTCGATGAGGAGTTATCTGACGCTCTCCTGGTGCACCGCGGCTGGTCCTCTTCTAGACAGCTTCCACCAGCTCTTCAAGCGAGAACCAGAGATCAGATCCGTTCATTTGATGAACCAATATCTAATAGGACGCTTCTTTCTAGAATTCAACGGATTCACATCAGAACCGATGGAGACATTCCCATTCAATCAAGCCAAGGAGAGACGGAGCATGTACGTTCTCAAAAAGGATATCATCCCCGCTATATATTGGAAGCTCTTCGTGAAGGGCAGGTGGACGGGCCCGAGCACATTCAGACGATTGATGCGTCTCGGTTTTTCTTGAATGGAACGGAGGGGATTCAACCTCTTCACCGAAAATCATATGCTCTCTCATGGATGATGAGGCATGCTCTGGGCAGAGAACCCTCAGAAAATCTTATCCAGGTGACGCCGTACAGGGGAGAGATGCTTTCCCGGAAGCGCTCATGTTGCCGATGCAGTGACGAGGAATCGATTCCTCGGTGTCAGGAGGATTTTCGCGTCGTGAGGGTGAGATCCATTTTATTCTTGAGGGAGCAAGGATCGATTCCGATCGACCGCCCGCCTCATTCGAGCTCTGCTCATTCGTCAATGATTCCCGTACACTGAGTTCCGTACCTATCGAAATAAATATTGTGAAAAATCATGGAGCTCCGACGCTGCCTCAAGATTCCGCTTCGAATTTCTCGCAGTGATTTTGCAGATCCTGAACTTCGAGAAAGCCACGGATCGGGGGATTTCTCCTTCTACCTAGCCTTCAGGACGCTCGCGTCGCTTTTCCTAAATAATTCTTTCGCCGAGCTGGATTCACAGCCGGAAGTCGATGGATTTGACCCCGGACTAGAGCAAACGGGATTTTTTTTTTCGACGAGCGATCGACCAGTATGGTCAATAGATATTGCTGGAGTTAGTGAGTTTGTCGAACGAGCCGAATCTCACTCAATCGACATTACGATACACCTTCCACTAACGGGGTCCAACAATCGTTCCCGGATCTCAGGTTTCTCTCGGAAGGACGTCTCCCCGTTGATTACTATAAAAAGAGCGAACTCCTACCGCGACCAACGAACGAATCTTCGAATACGCTCTGTCAACGTGAATTGAGCGAAAACGTCTGAAGACTACTCCTCGCGAATACTGAGGAAAGACGGCTTTTATCGTATGAGGGGTAAACGACACATTCTTTTTTTATTTTACAAATGCTTGTACAGGCTCTCAAGCTAAGCATTAGGTAACAAGTCCGGTGTGTCGCTCTGATCGCATTCACATAATTAATTCACTGTTTCTCATTTCTTTTCCTATAGAGAGACTCTCCGTCAAATAAGTAGGTATATACATAAAGCAAGGTGGGGAGGAAATAAATACTACCTCAATGAACGAGAACCCAACTATCTCGTTCTGAGAATTGGCTGGGCACAGCCTGGGCAGATTGTCAGGATTATTCTCAATCATCATTCGACGGCGTACTCAATGTATTTTTTATGATAAAACAGCAAGTACGCTTCACAATTTAGAACTTCCTCAATAGTAGCGGTCTTGATTTCACAGTCGTCACACTTGAACCATCCGTTGGGACTCTGTCGGATATACGCCGTGTAGTGTCCAGTCTGTAGCGTACCCTGATGTATGACGACCCCAAACAAAGAATAAGTATGCGGTCGAGAGAACGACGGATCGTGCGACGTCGACGTCGGATCGGCTTCTTCCTGTTCTTCTGGTTTCGCCATGTAGGGGCTCAGATCGAGTTGTTGGGGGAAGGCGATCGGAGTCGAAACTTTCTTATGCAGCAGTTTCGAATGCTCGAATCTTTTCAGGTGAAAACTTACTACTAGTGGAAGTTTTTTGAAGGTGAGCTGTTTGGTCGACTCCTGATACGAGTTGCACTTGGAACACTTGATTTTGGCCGCCGAACCCAGATGTTCTGCTCGGGTGAAGTTCTCCAGGCAGTCAGTGAGTTTCTTTCGATCTAAACTTCGAGGCTTTCGGCTGTCACCGGCTGTTTGTTGGCCCAAATCCAGAGAAATGTCCCAGAAAGGCTCGATCGTGGTCGAAACCCCGTGGCAGCTCTGACACACAACGTCTGACTGCAGGCTTCCAGTGAAGATCACATCAATTATACAGTTACAACCTCCGCTGTAGGGGATATCCGTACCGCTGGCATGCTTGTGGACGAGGTTGAGGGTAGCCATAAAAAACTCGTGAGCATCTTGTTGCTCATAACCGGCGAGGTGCTGAGCGTGTGTCCAGACGAGGTATAGGAGCCTCGTCGGAACATGAGGAAATATTTTCCCTGAGTAGAATTCTTGAAAGATTGAGCACATTTCACAGACGAGACAGTCAGCAGGACTCGAACGGATGCATTTATGCTGCTGTGACAGAAAGTATTCCCTCAGGAACGGGGTGTGCGTTAAACATTGTATGATACAGTTCATGAAGCAGGTGTTGCCCAAATTGTACAGACCTCGGAGACCGATGGGCGTTTTCGAATCGACCCGCATCCGCTTCGGCTGCAAACTCAACAGTTCCAATTCTCCGTACTTGGGATTCCATAGAGGAACCGAGCGCACAAATTCGTTAAGATCCAAAAAGTCGGCGAGTCTTTGTCGAGCCTTAATTGCTATGATATCGAACTCATAATCGTGGACGTATTCAGCGCACAAGTAACAATATAAAACACCGTGCGACAACGAAATCGCCACATGGTGATTGCTTTCTTCGTGGTGTTCTTGACTGTGGTTGTAGAGACGGCAACCCACGTAACAGCACTGAAGACAGGCGTGCAATCGGCACCTCGCTCCCACCGATTCACATGTGTAGCACTTGAAGCGCTGCACTCTCTTCTCGAGGTTCTCCCTGCTCTCGGGCGAGATCAGAAACGAAATGACAATCTTGTACGACTCCATTACGAGGTCCCGTTGCTCGGCGATGTGAGAGCACAGACCTCCTGGACGATCAGCCATTTTGCGGCCTTGTGATTATCGCACTTGGTCCTCGGAGGACCTCGTCGCCACTGCCACCACCGCCAGCACCACCACCACCACAGCCGCCGCCGATTGTTGCTGGAGGGAAGTCGGTGGGCTCAAAAGTTTTTTTTCCCTGGGTCGATCATTCGGACCGATCGCTGTCAGTGCGGGGCGCTGACTCCTCGTCGTCCAGTCAGCAGCAATACAGCTCTCGACGACAACACATATAAGATAGCAGCTAGTGTTGTTGCTGCTCTGCTAACTGGATGGATGGCTACTGCTGCTGCTGGCTGCTGCTGCTCTTCTGGTGATCAACGAAGCCGGCCGCAACTGGGTGGCGCCCCAGTCGCTCGAAGAAAGAATGTTTCTTCTCTCCTCCCGACATCGGGGTAACGCTTGCATACGAAAAGTCTGGGCAGCCCTTGCGATATCTGGAAAACTCTCCAGATATTCACAATGTCAAATCTCGACGTACTACGACGAACTGCCGGCGGAAACGCAGGAGGACGATGGCTTTTCCCCATTTGATCAAGCTCGGCACCGGAGAATCGAACGTGCGCGCCCCCGAGTCCGATGTTTGTAAATAGTGACAACGTGCTCTCGGCATTCCTTGTTTGTAACACTCGTCGTTGTTCGTACATTGGTGTAGCTGATGCTCAGAACGTCCAGTTTCTTCACAGTCCGGATGTTTTCAAGTGAAGAATGGCTCGTTGAATTCCTTCGCCCACGAGGTTGCAACGGAAGCGCTAGGGGGCTGGTCGTGCTCGGCGCCTAATACCCCAGAGTCTGCTATTCAAATTCGTGAAGAAATGACAGAATCTTACCGTCGAAGGACCCGCTCATGCGAATGCCCAGTTTTTTCACCTTGTGCAGATTTCTGAGCTCTGAGAAATTACCCCGCGCTGTCAGAGAAAAATACGTTTCCAGAAATTCATGAATATAGTCCAATCGCCATGTCGCTCACCTCGCGGGACTCGCGAGTGACGCTTGATACCAGGAAGAGGTCGATTTGGGCATCCGATTGATGAGCGACTGCTCGGCTGAGAAGGGTTCTCGCTTTCCTTCCTCGCAAACGTTGAGTTCTTCCCGTTGACGTAGGGAGCCCGTGGCTTTGGTCGTCGGAGTCGGAGGGAGTGGCGGACACATTTCTCGTCCCCTCCGTGGGCTCGGAGTTCGGAAACCTCTCTCGGTAGCCAATGCAGAGTGGTCGACTCAATTATTCCGGAACAGCTCGGTGTCCCTATATACATCGAGGCGGGGATACGAGATGGATCACCGCTAGATTGAACATTTCTCTACCTACCCCGTGCCTTCGAGGAATACTTCGGGTTTTCGTTCGGATGATATCGCAGGCCCATTCATCGGTTCCTTCGCGGATTCCTCCTACTTTAGCCTCAGATTCCTCCCACTTCAGCTGATGAGCTATGTAAGGGTCTTCCTCAGCAGTATGCGAGTATGCCGAAACCTCAATCATTCCTAGAGCGGATTCGAACCTCGGCGCCCTCGAGTCGTAATTATTGGCGGTCGAAGAACATAGCACGGCCCCAATCGACCGCAATGAACTCGGAGCCCTTGCGCTCCCGCGGAATCGCACCATGATCTCGAGATATTGAGATCCATCTATCCACTAATAGAGAAATATCTCTGCCGATCGACGTCGATAATGTTTCCTAGTAAACTAGCCTCGGAACGAATTCCTGTATGCTGGAGCCTTGATTCGATTCTGAATATGCGCGGGATGAACAAGATCGGACTCGATTGGAAACCATGTCATAGTCTCTTCGTATGGTCCTGGACCTGTGGTCATTACATTGTATCGTCACTCTGTTATCAGTTGATAAGAGAAAGATTAGTTCCATGGTAGGTCCTTGCACGCCTTCTCTCCCCAGAGTTTCCAAGAGTCGTGGCCTGTCAAACCGATCGTAGGCACGAGCGCAGTCCAAAGAGCAGGAAATGAGCCCAACGTTTCCCTGCCTAGCAAATTCGATGGCAGAAGTCGAGATATGGATGTATTCTTCGCCTCTTCTGTCCCTCCTGAAGCCATATTGCATCACATTGCATATCCCTATGCCTATGCAATATTGCTGTCATTGTGAGGGGCCGACAAGTTCGAAGCATCGTTGAGAGACTTCCGTGGATTCCCCGTGTCGAGTATTCTGACCTCGGCCGCGGCCGTGAGGAAATCGCGGCATTTTCATGCTGAATTCGCGGCATTCTCTATTCTCACGTTTAATTCACGTCATTCTCATGTTGGATTCACGGCATTCTCATGTTGGATCCACGGTTCTTTCACGGCGGGTTTCCGGAAGATATTCTTCCTGGGGCGCGATCCTACTCTCACGAAGTCCACCCCAAGGCGTAGAGAAGCACGCCACGAATGACGGAATGAGATCCTCTTGTGCGAGTCGAATGTGAGCCTCTTGCGGCATCGCCTCGCATTCTCGAGTATGTAACGGCTTACGGAAATGGATTTTATCGACTCATGCGGCACAATATGATCGGGAGCAAATAGAGAGACTGGGGTTATTGACCGACAGGGCGCCATCCAGCTCCGGGTTGGATTCGAGGTCAGACTTGAAGCGGTAGAATGTGAAATACGATCCTTATCCGTATAAATGATTCGACGAATTTCACGTCACGAGGGAATCTTCAGGCGATGCCGGATCATCCTTTCGGCAAGCAGGAGCATCATAGATTCTCACCAACCATTCCAACTAACCCCGGAGCAAGATCCCTCACCCCAGCCGCGGAAATGACTCCAGGATTTCGAGGAAGTAGAGCGACAACCCTTCTCAGCCGAGCAGAGGCTGATCAATCGGATGCCCATCTTGACCTCTTTTCAGTATCAAGTGTCGCTTGTGAGTCCCCCTATTCCCCCTATATAATCAATGAGAAAAAAATCCGTGCGTGATTGAATCACTACGATCCATCGTAAGCATATTCGTTAATCCCAGTCCTAGAAAAATCCGTGAGTGAAACCTTCTCTCAGTCGACTGAAGCTTCCTAGAGGAGTTTAGAGACCGTATCTCCGCGGCAATCGGGCTTCTCGATCGAATTGATACTCTCGACCTGAACAATCATCATCCTGGATCGTACCATCGTGAGCTCTCAGCTATCAGGAAAACGACAGAGGACGATGAGTACTTCACATCATCGACGACAAACGCAGAGCGAATTTCGGGAGACGCCTATCGTGGTATCGACTCCTGGATCCTGTGGAATCCGCTGCCACCGAGCATGGGCACAATTTTCATGAATTTCCGGAATCGCATCCTCTTGCGACACAGCAGGGTGATTTGTCGGAGCTCTCGTTGGGAACGTTTCCCTTGGTCGCGACTTTTGTGATCCGTCTATCGCTGCTGAGATGAGCACCGATGGATATGCTTCTAGGAATCGATCGAGAGGATCTGGAAGCAGGGGGGATTCTTCAGCAGAGTCCTCCAGACTCAGCGATCTGGGTCCGTGTCTCCTTCGAATCGTGGATCGTGAACCACATCTCTCTCTCAAGCTCTGGGATTCGAATTCGCGCGCCTCGTCTCGCCATCGAAGCGGCGAAGGCTCAGCATGTTCAGGGAATGGGCCGCCGACAAAGCCAGCGGCGGCGGCGGAGAGCCGCCGTCGAGCTTTCAGCTTCCAACTTACCGAAGCTCAGGAGAGGAGGAGAGGAGGAGAGTCCCGAAGAAGCTTTCTGCTTCGTTTGTAAACATAGTAGGGCGCAAATCCGAGTGGCGATGGGATTAGTCACATTACTCTTCTAGTCTAATGAACCCGTGAAGTGGGTCTGTAAATTATTTGTGCTCTGATTTTGTGGAACAATCTGTTGGCAGTGCGGTTCGTCACGCAGTCCCGGGATAAAAAATGACGGTCTGTCGTTATTACCGGAATGGTTACTGCAGGAATGGTTTTTCGTGCAGATTCGAGCACACCTCTCCGCGAGAGCCCTTACTTAACGCACCCACGTGAGTTTTCGAAGTTCGCAACACAACAACACTGAGAGCGCCCATGAGCAGTTTCCCTGAGAATAGACAGGGTGGCTTGATTATGATAATCCCGTTTCCAGATACCACCCGGAGTACTCGACAGGGTACGGACCGCGAGCTAATAATGTAGGGCCAAGACAAAGCTGGCAGGCCCAAGAACATCAGTATCATCACCAACAATCATTTTTCCAACAACAGCAACCCTCTGTGTATGATTTCCGTTTCAAGTTCATGAACAAATCGATATCGTTGAGAGCATCAGGTCATCCGGTGATCACGCGGAACTGAGGCAGGCTCGTAATGTCGAGCATATTATTGAGAAGAAGTCCGTTTCTATAGTGTTCGAATGTCATACTTTTGTTTTCAGCGTGGATCAGATCATCGCGGATATCGCTCTGATGCTCCGAGGCAAACAGTATCTATATAGCTGCATACCTGGTGAGACTATTTGAATACGCGGACGCAGGTTCTTCAGCAGATTCGAGAGTTTCTTGGAAGACATCCAACCCTCAAAATCATTTTCAGGTCGGCAGCCTCATCTCAACTGTAAAAATCTCTCGGACCTGAGCCCGGAGGAAATCCGTGTGAAGTTCTTGGAATTTCAAGCGACCAATAATGTCGAGCGCTTCGTGAGTTGAATTTTGATCATCGCCTCAGTCGAGACGAGTTTGGCACCGTTCGCTGTCGAGCCGATCGACCGCTGTGAGGAAACCGAGTCCCAGTGGCTGGAGAAGATTTTTTTTTTGCTGCAGATGTCTGAGATGTCGGCTCACAGATTATTCGTGGAAGGAATTCTACATCAAATCTCTCGTAACCCCTCTATGTTGGACGACGTCCAGCCACCTCTAGCCAGGCCAATGTTCCACACGCCGCCCAACGAGCCGAGTCTTGCGGCGAGTCCACAATCATCTTCTTTTAGCGCGCCGTTATTCGGTGCGACCTCAGCCACGTCTCCGTCGGGCAACAATGCTGGGTCGATCTTTGAAGCTTCGCCACCTCCTTCGCATCAGATTCATCAACCCGCATCTGGGATGGATGTCGCGCAAGACGCTGTCAAGCCTCGAATGCTTTTCGGGAAGAGCGTCCAGAATGATGGGGGACTTTTCGACACGAATCGAGCGGCTCAATCCTTATTTGCACAGGCCCCTCAAATCGCCCCGACCGGCTTCCAGATGAATGCTCCGCCTCAAGCCGCACAACAGATTATGAACCAGCAAGGTTTGTGGAAATGTCTGGAAGGAATCGGGAGGAATCGACGCGTGGTCATCCTACTCTCCCCGTTAGTCATGCTCTGTAAAAAAACGATTTTCTCTCCCTTCAGTGGGTTTCCCAGTGAGTTCAACACCGCCGATCATCCAATCGGTGTCGGGTAGTCCAGGTTCGTGTTCCTCGTTGACGAAAGACGTGAATCTATTCGGCAATGCTTGAAGTCGTTCAATCCCCTGACCGGCAGTCATGAAGCATGTGGTCCCGTGATCTATGAGCCTCTCATGATGCTTCCCGAATGCATCCTGAGACATCGATGAAAATTATCAGAACTTCATTCCAGCTCTACTCCCTTTCGGCGCGTCGGATCCCCCGAAACAAATCACCGCGCCCCCGTCGCATCAGAGTGCAGGAGACGATGGGGTTTATACTCAATTGATGGATATGAGCCCGGAAGATCTCGCTGCCTTCCAAAATCGTGCTTTCACAATAGCTGGAATACCGCTCTTACCACCGGCAAGAGAACATTGTTTCTGATTCGTTGAGTGAGTCGGAGTTCGGAGTAGCAAAGCTTGAAGCATTCAATAAAACTAGGGATGTCAACACGTAACCCCCGACCTCGATTCATTTTCTTAACCGTGTTTTCAGATCAGAAGTCGTTGGGTTGTCAAATCGGATTGTGCATGAAGCCGGCTGTCGCCGGCACGATACAATCGATGCAGAAAGAAGAAGCGAATTAGAATGGAGTTTGGTTGATATTTTTATTATGGGTCCTCCGTAAACCCTGAGTCGCTCCAATCGAACTAGAGTTTTGGCGATTTTATCGTACACGTCACCGCGGAAGAGAATCGGAAGTCCTTCATTCTTCGATGATTCAAAACACATAGGCACTCCGTTTTGACTAGGATTGCATCTTCAACAGAACACGGGTGCTACTTAGTAAGAAACAAGGTCCGCCACATGACACTAACACAATTCAATTTCGGAATGTTGATCAGAGTCGTTTTGACGTCTTCGAAACTCTATACAAAACCACGGTACAGCTCCTGAACGCATAGAATAAGTAGAACAATTTAATTCGTGAGCTGTAACAAGTCGGATATGGCTCGATTCTTGTCGCCGTTGTGTGACTCCAGAACGCTCTCGATGACCGTCTTCTCGACCGATGGGAACATTTCTTGCAGCTGTAAGAGAGGAGGAAGAGTCATGAAAGATTCCTCATGCTCATCTCGAGGTGCATTTCACGCGAGATTCCTCAGCACATCATTTACCTGCTTGAAATCCTCCTCAGTAATCGGTGTTGGAGCAGGTGGTTCGGGACGGGGCTGCACCGGTTGGACCATGGCTGGCGCTTGGAGCACGGGACCCGGTGCAATTCCGGTCGGATGCATGGGCACACCCTGCACAACCGTGGTCACAGGACGGACCTTGGATGGGAATTCATTTAGAGTTATACTCATCCGCCGAGGAACCGAAGTAGTCTATTAGGGATGATTGCGAGAACTTACCGAGGATCCGTAACCGTACGTAGTAGGTACGGGGCTACCGTTTAGATACATGACTTGCGGTGATATCATGGAGCCCCGGGGGATCACCGTGTAGCTCATCACGAGATTGATTGCACCCTCCTTGCCATCGCCCTGCTTCCCATTCAGAGGGATCCATTCCTCATTGGTCTCGCCAGCCGTTATAACGGCCTCGGGAATCTGCACATGCGCCCACGCAATCTTTTCGCTCGCTGTGAACGCGCACTGCGGAGGGAAATTCGAGAAATCAGCATCGATGGGAAACCTTCGCGATGATTCTCGGAAGACCGATTCACGAAGAACGGGCTCCGGAGAAATCTTCGATACGGACCTCGTCGAAAATTTCAATGAGGAATGAGTTGACTCCAGGCGGTATAAAACAATGGAAAACTTTATCCCAGCGCGGGTTTTTTGCTCCATTGTAGTGGGTATTGGTTTCGTAGATATTGTGGCCGATGCGGAGCCGGACGTAGGGATCCATCCTGGTCATACCGTAATTCTTGACCAAGCGAGCCTGGAAAATTCAATCATCCCAGCTAATATTGATTCCATGCTTCGTCTTCCTATAAGCGAGTTGTTGCAGGTTCAACGCGAGTGACACGTCTCAATCCAGAGCCGATCACCTAATTCGACAATAGCTTGAGCGATCATGAGCTTCTACGGTTTATTATTCATTGAATTGAACGAATGAACTATCTGGTCGCAGCTTGGTAGACCGATCACCGCTAACATCGCGTGGTGCTCCGGCGCACGGATCCTTGCCTCAAATGAATTTACAATATTCGACAGGCTTAGTCAGAAAAGCTCGTTTCATTACCTCGACAACTGTCAGCGTGAGTCTCCCAAGATTTTGGGAAGTTGTGAGCATCTCCATTTGGCGTTGCATGGCTATCGCTGCCTGCTCATCTGAAGCTATTTGACGCGCCCTCTGCGAACCCGGGGAGAGGTCTCCGGATGCCTCAACAGATTCCGCCGGCGGCGAGACATTGAGTCGGAGAAAGTCTTCTGGCAGCTCTCCGACCAGCACCTGGAACACGGAGTTTCTTAGCAATATAATCATGATATGAGCGAATATCTGAAGACCATGTATGTGCCACCTAGTGCTTGCGCTTATGGTAGACAGCTCCGCTCAAGAGGGATACTAACTCGGGTCGGCTCAAAATAGCTCGGCCAGGATTTCTTTTTCGACTCGAAATACTCAAATCTTCGCGTTCTGTTCTTCTGGTCTGGGCCCCCGCAGAAGTACGGCAAATATACGAAACCCATCGGGAGCGGAGCCACGTGCTCCAAAGTTCGATTCGCGCCTGACACGACCGAACGTCAACGGATTCGATTGTCGAATCTACCGGGAAAGCATAACAGTCGTTTTCCAAGCACTCCTGACGTTCAGAACTGCGCAGTCTGCATCTCTGGGACCACCGATGCTGATTGCAATGATGCCAAGACTCGCGCGGGAAAGAGTGAGAGACTCTCAGTCAGTCGAGGACCCGCTCACCAGGCGAAGTCGTGCTTCAAAGCTCATTTCAAGCCAGCTGCTTTCAGAAAACCAAATCACGCCGCGGCGTCCTTAGCTTCCGTTCATGACCACTGACCACCATCTTTGAGCTTCATTATTCTGATTCCGCTGACGTCTTCTGATCGCGGTTTGCTTACAGTGGATATTCAGCGACCGAGTTGGTTTTTCACACATCCAATGATTGCAATCGTTGTTCGCGATGCGAGGACTCGCTACTTCGGAACATAAGAACAGATCCGAGCCCACGATTCAGTCAGCTCATGTCGCTTGCGGATGTGTGTCACTTGCGCCTTGGTCTGACTCATCGCTCTCAAGGACGAAGTCCGATGGAACTATCGAGCGACTACGATGTGAGACAGTGCTTGCGTGACGCAAAACGCGAGCGGAATCGTCTCTCAGTCGTCGGAAACACATAGCTGGACTTATTCATCGCGACGTGGCCGCCCTCGACAGTCACTGATTTTCTATCTGGCTTGCAGCATCGGGAATGCCGGCTGATTTCTCCGAGGAACCTCCAAGATGTAGTAGCAAAACAGAGTCATGGTGACTTGGAGCGATGACAGATCTGAGCAGATCCTCAAGTGTCGGTGTATCTCCCACGGTCGTACACTATCGCAGAAATCGTCCAGTACCCAGTGAGGCAGACTTGTGACCGTGGGGAGCGGCGGTAATCAAACTCCGCGCGCCGAAAACTAGAGAAACATACCTTTTTCCGACGTTCCTCAGCTGTTTCTCTCTGTGGGCTTGCCATGTTTACGGGAACTATCAGCAGACGATGAGCCAACCGCCTCAGAGTTTTCACTTATTTGCGTATCGTCCAAACTGAGGCAGCAAAGCGGCGGCAGACGGAGCCGCTACGGAGCAGTGGTGGTAAGGGAACATGGGCGTGAGAGACGGTTTGCAAAGTTTCTCGGCGTAGTTTTGCACAGCCGAGCGTATGGTCGAGATACCGTAATATCTCTCTAATGGGGAATCTTAGACGTCACAAATGGGATAGAGACTCCACGAAAATAAATCTGTCCAGGGTTTAACGGTCTCTCAAACGATGGAACGGGGGAATACCCGAACCTGGGATACGCGTTCTGGGCGTGTGCTTCCTCTAAGGAACTGATTCAATGAGAACTCGGCAAAGGAGTCAATTGAAAATGAAATCTGTCGGTGAATATCCGGTGATGATGATCTTTGCCGAGCGGAACATTCGAATTGCGCCGATAGAGAACTCTCCTCCCAGGGATGCTCCGCGCTTTTAAGTCTTCATGAAGGCCTGTGTTGGAGATTCAGCCTGTGAGCTCGATTAACCCAGACCGATTCATCACTCCGTTCCTCGATTACTCCGCTGGCTAAGATCGTCGATAAAGTGGGCGCCTGGAAAGACTAGCGCGAGTCTGCTGAAATTTTTGCGCTTCGAACGCTGTCGGCCCCAGAAAGAATCGAGGGCCTCGTCCTATACGGATTAGGCACTCGACCGGAGTTCGAAAGCTTGACATAGGGCGATTGAGAGGAGCGAATCGATCTCCGTGATGCAATGCGAGTCCCGCTGGATCGCTGACCTTATCCTGATCGTTCCACGTTGTCCTGAACCGCCACTGACGACGGATCGGACTAGATGAGGGAGGTTAATTCTTGAGAATATCGAAGACCTTCTTGAAATCGTGCCATCGCGAAGCCATTAGATCGCGAGTCTCAGAACCGTGCCTCAGGTCTCCGGATACTCGGTGGCTTGTGGCTCTCCGAATGGATCTGGATCATCGGTCCTCACTGTCAGCGCATTCCATGTCCCGATCGGGAGCAAAGGCTGAATCCCGTTCTCGATCTAAGTGGACGAATTTCGCCTCTCATGCCCACACTGGATTGCTTTCCCTACACGAGCACACAATAGGTAAGCCGCGATACCCTACGCGTCGAATCCCATGTCTAGTTGCATGACGGACCGGAGAAGGACTTTCTCTCGCCTTCGCGCTGTAAACAAAGTTCTCTCCCGCGAGAGGCTAGACGGCTAGACGCAGCTAGACCGGCAAGTGTCTATGTTGGAGAAGTTCGAAGGGAGAATTTTTCGAATTTGAATCCTGACCATTTCCTTTGTATTCCCTTCCGAATAGCCCCGTTCCTCGATATTCTGTGTCTCAGCCCAGGAGCGAGTATTTTACTCCCATGTTGTGATCCTACTCGAGGGAAGGGTAAGCGAGGAAATCATTGCTGTTGCATGGTTTTCGTCAAACTTCCGAAGAAGTCCTTTCCCATGCTGTCAGCTGTCATCTCATTTGGACTCCGTTTTTGCGTGGGCATTGAATTCATGGGTTTCGAAGTTCCAGATGGACTTGTACTCTATAAGACGGAAGAACAATGCTGCGACGAAAGGCTCTATCTTCCCTTTGATCTCTCAGCTTGCACCGGATGAAGGTGCTTCGGATGGCAGCATATCCTCGCAGTTCTGCATTTTCAAGGGTGTCCTCTGGGGCAGCCGGGTGATAGTCTCAGATCTCGACCATATAAAAGATATATACGCTGGCGGTTTCTTCGGGAAGGGAGACAGTTCCGGCAGCGAACCCAGGTGAGAAAACCGTGGACACTGGGAGGATGAAAAAGAGATAAGTGCCCCAGGTGATATCCCTGATCGGACACGAACTCATTCCCTGAAATAATCGAGTCGGACGAATTGCTCTTCAGGTTCGATGCTCCCAGCTTCCCACGGACCATGGAAATGATTCACTCGAGAGGTCTCGGGGAAAACGCACATGATTCCGGAGAGGCCGTGAAGACGGCTCGGGAGAGTTTCCGAGAAGAGGCAGAGCGACTGCTTCTATCCCCGGAAGAATCCTATTTCCTCGCATTCGGTTTGGGTGAGCAGAGTTCTGTGAAATCGATCAGAGTTTCCCTCGGTATGCCATGTCCTGTTCGACCCATATGCGTGATGATCTTCGGAACCATCCGAATTTCAGGTGTTTTGAGCGTCCGCACGGAATCCGGTCAGCATCTTAGCTTGGATGAACTGTTCACTAGGTTCGAGTCGAACGATTCCTTATTCCCGATTCGATACGCGGCTTATCATCACTTCAGACAAAAAGGCTGGATAGTCAGATCGGGAATGACTATGGGGGCAGACTATCTGCTCTACAAAGACGGCCCCCCCTTCACACATGCTTCCTTCATAGTTTCGGTCCAGACCGACCAAAACGACCCCGAGCCTTCCACCCCCGGTAAGCCGCGACTGAACGATCATCCCGGGGTTCCTGTCTCGTCGTCACGCATTTGCCTCATCTCTCTCTCTCGCTCGATCCAATTTGTCGGGGAACAGAGCATGAACCAAGCGCCCCATAATCTCATATCATTGATTTTACAGCCTTGACGGAACGCGATATCGACAGCCTTACCCGAATTTCCGGGAGTGTCTCCAAGAGCCTCTTACTATGTTATGTGCTCCGGCCCCCAGGACTCAATTTGAAGGATCCGCAAAGCTTGAAGGCGATGAAGATATGTGAAGTTATTACCAATAGATGGGACTGTAAATAGTTTATGACGTTGGGTTTCTGGCTCACACAATGAACTGTGATGAGCCAGTGACTGATTCACTTATTCCATTTTAATTGATCGAATTCAAAGCTACGTTCTAATCCGGTTGATCTCAAGGTTGGAACTCGGAGAGAATAGAATCGGGATGGCGGTGCCCACCCTCGGAGGAAATGAAATCGGAATGGCCTCGCCCTTCCCTCGTGGCTCTCCCGAATATCGAGATTCGACTGAGTCGACTACTGATGTCCAGAATCATACGCCGAATATCTTTCGTCGCGGAATTTCGAAAAAAACCGAGCACTGAGAAGACGGACCTTGGAGCCGAGACAAGAACGCATGTTTATTCCATGGGCCTTCCACAGAAGTCCCGTTGTCAAAAAAACACGTTTCATGCGCGGCTTCTATATCGGTGTTCAAGAAACGAGAGGTCGAAAATCCTTCCTCTCCGGCGAAATCGAACTCCGCATGCGTCCTCCGCGCTGAGGATATTCCAAACGACGCGAACAACACAGACAGTAGGCCGGAATGCAGCATGAACCGTGACCCCCTGTCGCAGAGAATATCATGCGGAGATCAAACGAGAGCATTTTCCGAATTGGAGGGCGATGATTAGGACAAATATAGCTTCACCTCGAGTTCAAAAATCGCTCTAACGCGATTTTCGTTCTGGTCGTGTCCTTACCATAGTTCTGATAGAAGTCGATCGGCTCCTCCGCGTAGCCATCGTGGGAGCAAGACCTCATGGGTCTGGGTCCGTATCGGAGTGAAATCGGTTTTCCGGTGGACGAGCGAACGTTCTGTGCCTCCAGACGGCCGTCCGGGAGCGTCCACAGATCGAAAAGGACAGGGGTGTATGGCCTCAAAAACGTCAGCTCTCCCGGCATCATCACGATCGAGTTGCGGTGTACGAACAATTCGCGACCGTTGCCCTCGCGCTCGATGAATCCGTAACAGAGTCGGGAGTTGTACCTGAAACAGAGGGAGGAAGCTTCAGTTCGAGCTCTGATCAGGTCTCCTGGCAAGGATCACCGAATGAAGTAGACTGACATCATCATTCGCAAGATCTGTTCCTTGAATTCAGATCGTATGAACCTATTGGGACTCATAAGGACTCAATTTAAGGATTCGACATGACTACCGACCACTTGACGATTCCTCGAAGGTTCTCTGCAATCTTATCGGCTCTGCCAGCCTCTTTAGCGGCGCGGATGTACGCTTCTTCCAGTTGCTCTTTCGCGAACTGCTTCGCATCGTCGAACTCGTTGCCGCAGCACGAGCCTCGAGCTCCGAAGTCATGCGCATCGCCGCCACCGCATTCTTTCCCGTCAGCCATCCTCAAGTTCCAGTGTCTGCCGACTACGCACGCGTCGTCGGAAGGGGGAAGCTGGGTCCGTTCTGAACTTCGCAGCTCTCGCTCTTGCGTCGCTTGTGTGGCGCGAACAATCGCACAGGTCGACGAAGGGGGCGAGCTTCGTTATTTTGCAAGGATTCCCAAACTAGAGTCGCGAAGCGTTCCTTCATCGATCTTCTCCTCACGGCGCGCGAATTCAATCGACGTCCTGCTCCCCAAAGCCGGTGCGAGCGACAAGGCCCAAGCATTTCAGAGGGATGATCGTGACGGGTCAATTAAGTCCAAGGCCGCCAGCTAGAGGTCCCGCGGCCTGTCCCCGAGGGTTTCCGGAAACGTCGGATTAATACCCCTCGCGGTGTCATGAGGTTCATGTACACATTCGAATCAGCGACAGAAAAGTCCTTCAGAGATGTCGGCATTCATACATGATCATTGATCATGAACGAGATTTGAGTGAATCCTAATCATGAGTCACGGCTGAGAACCGTGAAGCATCCATGTATTCCGTATGGTCATCGCCAGGGGTCCCGATATCGGTCCCATGTTCCGGAGGAGATCTCGAGCGACACAAAAGGTTGGAGCGTCTTCTGTGGGATCAGTCCTCGCTACAGATCTATCAGGAGCCTTTCCATCGTGCTCAAGACGTGGAAGTCTGAAAATACTCAATGAGTGCCCCCAGCGCGGCGAGGTTGCACATTTCGACTCCGTCCACTCCCCGGCTCGGCAGCTCCTCGAAGAGGTGGAGCTTGAAGATCGTAGATAGACCCGACATCCGGAAGTTAGACCGGAGGGTGATTCCAGCGGTATTCTGGGGGTGACTATCACGGAACCACCACGGCGTTCGAAGATCTCGAGGGAATGAGATGCAAGACGTCAGCTACAGGGATAAGCTCTGTCTTATTCGTCCAAAGTTTATTCCAGGTATCGGTCCGGGTAGTTTCACAAAGTTTCAGGAAAATAAATTATCGCTCAGGAGCTCAGCGAAGTGGGGGCTCACAATCATCCCAATCTGGAGACAGAAATCGGAGACCGCTCAGGGCTTCGAAATCTCCCGGTCTTAAGAATCCCACTACTATTGTGGGATTCCACGGCGGAGCTCCTCGCTTGCCCCACTGATCACCAGTGTATCTGCGCCTCGATTCTTGTTTCTTGAGTCTCAGCTTCTTGATGTGACTCCCCAAACTGAGACGAGGCTATCAGAACCAAGCATCAGCCATTGAGATAGAGAAGGGTCCGGCATCGATGGAAGAGACAGAAGTCGCATCGACCATCAACCTCGTGCTCAGGGCGACGCTTGAACGACGATCGATTGAAAGATCGAGGGAGGGTGACTCAGATACGATCGATTGAAAGATCGAGGGAGGGTAACTCAGATACGATCGAACTTCTCTGGAAAATCGGAAGGTGTTTCCAGGATGAGTGGATGGCTCGACAACCCCGTTTCCAGAATGACTTTTTGGGAGTCCCCAGGCAGAGGAACCGGCTGTCGTTTCGGCTCCCGGCTACCGTCTCTCTCCTTTCCATTTGGGAAGATATCGTCGCCAATTGCGGCGTAGGCTCATGCACCATCCAGCTGTATTGATCGCGAATATGTGGATACACGCACGGGAGGAGAATAAAAATATTCAGGACGTGGACAGTTGTCCAAATTATTTTCGGCTCACCTCAGGACTTTCTCCGACTTGGATGCTATTGTTGTACGCCAACAGCTTCGGGGATTCGTCACGGTCAATAATGAACGTTTGGCATCCGCTCAGAGCCTCGTCGAAGAAATCTAATCGAGATATAAGAACATTTCGATATTTGGAATCGAGGATCGCTGGGGTCGGATATGAGCAGCGAAGTCTCGCTATGACGGAATCCGGTAAAACGAAAGACACCGAATTACGAAGACTCTCCCGTAGTCTCTTCGGCCAGAGATCCGTGGCGACGGTGCTGAATTATACTCATCAGAGCGAAATCTCTGAGCAGCGAGCAAGATTTCCGGTCCACGATCGTTGTAACGAGGTATAGCGTGTTCTCTATGATGACTGAGGAAATATTAATCTTCTCGACTCGCATGCGGCTGACCAAAACTTACGCGTGCGCAGCGATTCGGACAATGAATCGAGTGCGATTTCTGCTGCATCGACAATAAGTACACGAGGCGGTAGAGCCGCGAAGCGAGTCATGAGCGCAACGAGTAGGAAGACGGTTCTCTCATTACCTGAAATCATGCAAGTCCGCTGACGTTCGTCCGTTGCCGCCGATACCGTGGCATTATTGCACTTGATGATGGACTTGACCCACTTGAGAGCTCCCGCGGCGGTTCCCCCGGAATCGGAGCATAATCTTGGGAGATATCGAAAGAAACCTCCAAAAAATCCCGACTTCCCAATTGCGGATTCGCAGTACCGATTCGTCGTCTCCTCTGGATCAAGCCTGGAACCTTTTGAAAGAGAAAGCTCTTCAGAAGGAACTCCAGTTTCGGAAATTCTCAGGGCACCGTACGGTGTGCTCCATGCACGAAAAGACATCCTCTTCGCAAGTCGAGGGGTCGCTTTGGGGACCAAGGCGACGAGACGCCTATTCTCAGGATGGCGTCAATCCGGAACTACTAGATTTTCCGATTGACGACAGAGACTCGTCACTTGGGAAAGGCCCAGAGCCCAGAACGAGGGATTCCACCCTCCAGCGAGAAGAATGTTGAAAACTATAGCTGGACGCCTTTTTTTCGCGACAGTGCTCGATGAATATGTATATGCACGGCGTCACCTAAGGACTTCTTTCACAGTGCATGAGACGATCTCACGAGCCGAGGTGCTCATTCGTCGTCGGTATCCCCGAGTCTCACAGAGAGATCAGATGGATCGATGCGGCAGTTCTAAAGCTCGCACTCTGATCAGATACTCGAAGCGTAAGAGGAAACGAACCGTGCTAATTTTGGAGATCCACACCCTTCCTCTCGGCACGAAGCGTAAGAAATTCCTCTCGAAACGATGCATCAAGCCGTTGAATGTTTCTTCCCCGAGCTCGGAGCAGATATTCGTCTCGTCGCTGACGTCGAAAATCCCCTCCAGCTCATCCAGAGCGATGTCGAGCTCGTCCGGGGTCTCCGGAACTTCCTCCATCAATTCCTCCAGCTCGTGACGTTCTGATTGCGACACGACTGTCACAGACAAATCTTTCAAGCGTTTTTCGATGTCGTGAAGCTGTTTCGCATAATCCTCGTTCTGGTTCCAATTTTCAAGCTGCACCTGCGGCCCAACTCGCTCGAGCTCTCTTTGAGCGTTCGATAGCTTCCATTTGAGTAGGAAGATTTTGGTTTGCACCAACGGTGTATCCGGATTGAGCCACCGAGGTACGTCTTCCACTTCCCCGTGGTACGGCGCGTCGTCGGCTGCTGCTTCTCCTTCGTCCTCGACCTTCGTTAAGAAGTCCTCGATGTCCTTAACGTACTGCTCGAGAACCTCCACTTCTTCTTGCAAGATTCTCGACTTTGTTTCCCTCTCCGCCTCCTCGAAGCCGAGGATCATTCCTTCTACCGCACCAAGAATCGAGCCGGATACCTCATCGTTGATTACGGAAATCTGAAGCGAAGGTTGGAGTTGAAACAGCAGTATCTCCCTTCGATCGGCTCGGAGCGAATGAATTCGAAGAGCCCTCGCGCACGGATAAGCATATATGCGTATCAGGTAAGCGTGAATACGTACTTCGGCTTCTTTCCACTCGATCTTTTCGTTCAGATTTTTGATCGCTTCCTCGAGCTCCGACTCAACCGGATACTGTGCACCGTCTCCGCGGACAGGGACAGACTGTATCCCGCGTATCCTCTCCTTGAGGTCTCCCAGCTCCAACTCGAGGGAAGATATTCCGTTTTCTGCTCTTTGGAGGGCTGTCTCATGCCAATCGATATCGACCCGGAGTTTATCCATCTCAATGAGACGGTCGTGGACATCTTTCCTAGAAAACAATTCGAGGCCGTGACATTCCTGGAAATCCGGGATCACGACGTTCCTAGCACCTGCGAAAAGGAAATCGCCGGTGCGAACAAGTTTCGATCATAGCCTACGATCGGATAGTGGATGCGTCGTGCGGTGATTCAGTCACGGGGGAGCACTCACAGTCTCCTGAGACAGTCGTCACGCGTCTGGTCACGATCACCCCGCAGTTGAGTCAGATGCTCCATGTGCCGTTGAATTTCAGTTTCCTTGGAGTCCCAATACTGCCAGAGGAGCTCGCAAGCAGTCAGAGCGTCCGAACCACCCGGAGCATTTGTCACTTGATCCTTGGAGAAAGATGTGCCTAAGGACGGGGGACAGTTAATGGTTCATCCCCTTCCTGGGGTTGGGTAGCTCGAGATCTGGCGAGATCTTCTTCGTGCGGAAGGATTCTGGCTCTATGGGGCCTAAGCTTCTCTGAGCATTTTCCCCCAGCGACCCGGGTATGCCGCTGCTCCATGGGTTTCTTTATCGGAAGGCGCATTCTCAGCCCTTCAAGAAGAAGATTAGCTCACCGTCTTGAGTAACGAATGTGTACAGCCTCCATCGCGGATCTTCGTTGAGCCGCAGAGCAACTTTCGACGCTTCGGCGATCTCACCCTCGACGACGTAGTGGTACTTTAGCTCGGAATCAATTATATTCCGGACAACTGTACATCGCTCCTCCCCGAGGTGGAATGGCCCACGATCCTATCATGGATGCGAGACCGATCAGATGGGGCAAAGAAAAATTGTGAGTTTACGCCCACAGGCATCCTAGACCGACAAATCCGCCATCTCCGAGTCGAAGTTGAACTTGAACCGACACGAACTCTGACTTTCAAATATGATGACAATGGTTTCGTATTCGCAGGTACGACGGGCCGCTTCGGGAGTTCCACATGATTGTCGAGGCAGATGAAGTTCAAATCACCGCGGAAGTTTGATTCTTCTATTCGACTGCTGAGCGACCAAGCAGCATGTTGATCTTTAACGAGGAGACTCGTCAAGCTAAGTGGGAAGGGGGAGGGAAATGTCATCGGGCAGGAACGGATTGGATGCAACTCAGAGGTGAAGGAGAATTCCAGGACCAACTCACAGTCTCCGTATTGGTCGCAGCAGGTCACGGTACCGCCTATCAACTTCGATGTGCTCGAGTACCGCGCCGAAATAAACCTGCGTCAAGTTTGCGTCGGATCCGTTCTTCGAGAGATCGCTATCACGAATCCGCCTCATGATGCTAGTCACGGCCACGTGATCCCGAGCGAGAGACGTGTTCACGTCCGTCTCAATACGATCGAATTCCGGTCCGCTGAAGTTTCATCCAAATAAGCGATTTCAGTGAGAGCGACGTCGAGCTTCGCGTCAACTGATACGAATCGACACTACGACAGAACTAGAGGAGATTCAGTCCATCCGACGAATTTGATATGAGAGCTCGTCTTTTCGGCGGAGCAAAAATTACCCGTATCTGAGGTCCCGAATATTTTGTATGTCAAATGCTTCTTTCATTTCGGATGCAAATATTTCATGCAACCGGTTCTGTCGCTCAGCCAGTTTCCCCTCGAGCGCATTCTTCAAGCCTGAGATTCGCTCCAGGCTCGCTCGCTTTTCTGTTACTTCGGCTTGGAGCCTCTGCCGCTCGCGTTCAACCTCCGTGCGGCGTTCCTCCACGAATTTTCCATAGGCCTCAATGGAACTCAGGGCATATTCTTCATGAATATCCGCCAGTCTATGATCTCTTATGAATTTCAATTTTGCTCTTAGCTTCCGCCTCTTCCCTCTGAGTCCGACCAGCTCCTGTTGACTCTCGGAGAGTTCCTGCTTCTTGCGCTGCATCTCGGTACGACGATTCCCTGGAAAGATTTCGAGCTCACTCGTTCCGGTGAGGGAAAAAGCTTCGATGATGGCCTAAGCGCTGCAGACACCCACTTTCTTGTTCCATAGAAGCTTCGAAACTTTCTCGCGGAGCTTCGAGATCGGCTAGAAGGGCGCGCTTCTCCTCTAACTCTTCTCTCAGCTTCTTGAGTATCCCCCGGCTTGTGAGCTTGCTGACCTCGCGGTCTCCGGTTTCGGGTTCATCAGCCGCCGACGTCTAAAATTTTATCACTCACTGAGGATCGCCCATCGATATCGGCTCGCCAAGCCCGGTACCGGCATGGATTTGTCTTAATGGAGTGTTGAGGAGAGGTACGAACCCTGGATAACTGACTCCGGAAGAACTCCGCATCGAGTTCTTCGGCGAAACGTCTCTCGGCCTCGTCCCGTTCAACTCTGGTTTCCAGAAGCCTCATTTTTTCTTCGAGTTGAGCAGTCGCGTCGACGAGACTCTTCATCCTCGAATACCGGGCCAAGGGCTTCAATCGATCCCGCTGCTCGAGAAGTGCTGAGTGTTCCGGCGGCGGGTTGAGCACAAATTGAATCCGTCTCTGGAATCAAATCCCATCCGAAATAGACTGAGAATAATAATTTAATGGCCTCCGCGTGATCGTCCCGAATTCCGATTACCTGCATCTGTTTACATGTCAGGTCCGAATACCGGAGAAGTTCCAGCTTTTCTGCTATGGATGGGTCCTGAGAGCGGACTAGGATTCGGTCAATGCAATGTTTTATGCCGAGGATGTGCCCCGCATCTAGGAGATGATTCGAAAAGAAGTCCAGCGGTAAGTATCGGCCTCCGGTGAGCTATAAAGAAGTTCGTGGTAATTTGAGGTCGAGCTCTCAGCATTCATTGCCGCGAAGGATTCAATATCCTTCAATATTCGCGAAGTGGTCCGGAAACTCTCTACGCATGAACATCATTGACAGAATCGTTCTCAGCGATACGGAGGGGACATGCACATGCGAGACGAGAGCGGTGGGTGGTCGGGGCTACTCGGAAGACTTGATCAATGTGCTCATTTCTGAATGCTTAAAGCAAGCCTTCTCTGACGAGATGGGCCAGGATGTCTCTGGAATGTGCTCACGTATCCAGAACGATGCTCTCCATGCCTTATCGCGGCACACTTCCGCGGACTTCTCCGACGAGCGTTGAGGTCTCTCCGAAGTCTCCGCCTAGTGGATCATCTTGGTTTGCCCGAAATCTCACCTGCTCGTGCGAGAACTTGACCACCGACGCGGCATGCATGCCGTGCTTAGCGAAAATTTCCCGGACTTCGGGAGCAGCTAGAGGTTTTCCATTGACGATGAACTTCAAGGACGCTTTCGTCCCGCTTTCCACCACGGCGGCTTGTATCGTGAGATGCTCACGCTCAAAGTTTCTGGATCCGTCACGAGTCCGGAAGACGCCCTGGGTTGAAGGGAAGTCACCGAGTTTTGACGAATCAATTGGAAAGATCTCGAATGGGATAAATTTTATGACATGACTGAGGGTTCGAGGGAACCTCTTACTGTGATATAAGCCGGAGTTCTCTTAACATATTGAGCGGATTCGAAATCCTCGAGGACGGCTTCCGGTGCGTCATGCCGTGTGGCCCATAATAAAATCTCGATCGCTTCAAACCGCAAGATTCCAAAAAATATATTAGTCAAGAGATCGATGAACTCGACCAGCTCGCGCGGTTCCAATACGAAACTGAAGTATCGCGCTGTCACTACCTCTCGAAACGGATCTCGCTGCGATCTCATCTTTGTATTCTGCAATAGTTCAAACGGACCGCTCAATTTTCCGATGAGCTCCCCTTTGGACTCCAGCGTCCCGGCGGAGACTCTTGGCGATCACATCGCATATGTAAGCTCGTTCCAGTTCAAATGATCTGCTCCATTGGATGAGTGGTCGGCCATCGGGTCATTTCTTACCGATCAGGTTCATTCCTTGATGAAAATCGAGTGTGTCGTCGACAAAGTACGCGAAATTCTGAAGCCGCATCTGAAATTCGGAGACTTGGTGTACAGGTGGTGATGTAGACAAAGTGTAGACTCCCGGCTACCCACATTCATGTCGTGTCCCTGACCACATCCCCTGGCTTTCGGAATCCGCTCATTCACTCACTTGACTCAGGTAGAGCGCCGTGGGCGAATGAGGTACCTTGCTAGTTTCTTCAATTAGATCCATGATGAGCTCACAACACGTGGTGGCTTTCGCAAGGCTCCCTTGGCGACTTGAGTGTCCCCCCGGTTGAGGAAACGGGCAATGTAATATCGGATATATTCTGTGGGAGATACGGAGACGGCACGTTATATTGGAGATATTTTGCACGAGCTCCGGGAAAGGTATCGATTATATCACTTTCCTTGCTACGACCCCGAACAGAGGACCGTCTTTCCGGCCGACTAGACGGATATCAAAATACCTAGATGAACATATTGATTGCACGCGAGCACAAGCCGCAACCGATCGTACTGTTCGACCACTCTTCCTCGTCGGATCCACTAGATCAGCTGGCCGAAAGTTCACAAGATTCCAATCGACGAGGAGCGGCGTGTGATTCCGCGGACGTATCCGAAGACGTGGAGATATTCGACATCGTTGAGATGAGATGGACGTGCTCCGTAGGCCACGGCGGGGTACCCCGGATGAGGAGACCCAACGTGACACCGTCACCCGAATGGACTTTGTAATTCGTGCAAGTAGGCGGCAAATTACGCCGCTCCGATCGGGAAATGGCGAAAACACTCGATGAAATCTATGAGAGCGTGTTGCGGGTCTGTCGGGATCCGCAGAGATCGATTCCTGCGCTGCCTTATGTCAGATTCACGTTCTCTTGAGAGATACGGCGCGGCGTAGACTATCATGCTCTCGACATAGACATAGCACGGCTCTGAGCCAGACCTAGGGCTTCCATCGACGACGACGGGCATGGACCCAGCTAGAACCTCATGAATACCAGGAGCGTTCCGGTGATTCTCTGTGCTCGGAAAGACTTCGGGGGAAGCATACACCCGAGAGAGGAAAATGAATTCCTCGGGTCTGACTACTTCTACGACACAAACGCATCGAAGGCTTATTCGGCGCTCGCATCATGGAGCCATTCGGGTGAAAATTTGCCGCAGAGGGGTCAGTAGCCGTGGCCGAGCTGAAGGAAAACAGAACATTGTGCTGTGAGCTCTCCACGGGGGCTTTTGCTCACTTCATCGGGTTATTTGGGTCGTGGCCCTGAGCTTTTTTCCCCCAAACGTGGCATAGTTTGTCGATTTCTACAACCAAAACGAAGCCCAATACTTCACCGTACTTGCCGGATCCTGAGCCGAGACAAATGCCGCTTCTGTAAGGCGCTGTTTCGATGACTTACGCTCGCGATCCTATGGCCACGGCTCATCTAATGAGGATCTCGCGCCGTCGAGAAGATTCCAACTCATGAAAACGGACGAGCTAGAAATGCCGTCTTCGAAAAAATCCCCCCTCTATAGGGTTTGGTGCACGAAAATGGGTCGGCGGCGGAGATTGCCGGTCACGAATCTTCTGACGCGAAGTACCTTCGGCGATTCGGTGATGGGGTGTGAGGAAAGTTCGACAGCGGGGAGATCCGGTCGAGGGGTTCGCGACCCTCAAGCCAAATTGGCTTCCCGCAGAGAGGCTCCCGCATTGAGCCATCAGCTCGGTCTCATCCAAACCTCGAGCATTTGGCGGTGTCAGTTGACTGCGAAAAAATACTCTATCGGAATCTCGGGGAGCTAGCTCCCCGGATATTTTGGAGTTCGCACTTCCTGGAACGCTCGTACTGCTCTCGTTTCTTCTCCATCGAGAAGGAGTCGCCTGCCGCATCCTTTCCACGGATTTGTCCTCGAGATTGCTCGATACGAAGTCCATCAGCTATCAATCGTAACTGAATGGCTGCGAGGCATCTTTGGAATCACTGTACACTGCGCAGTTACAGTTTCGATGACGCGATGGGCTATGTCTTTAACGTCCTCTCTCGCTGAGATCCCAATAATAGGCAAGGATTAAGGCGTAGCGGACCGTGAAACGTAGAGCTGACCGTTCTGCGGAAACTTCCTCCGCGTAGAGCGGGCAAACATGTCGAGCTCGGAGTCGATTCGAGATTCTTACTGTGAAATATTCCCCTCTCTCACCAATAATCGCTGCTGAATGCACTTCCACGAGGAAGCGGTTAGAGACAGAGCTCCCGATAGGAAAGAAAACTCTCTGCTATCGGAAGGAAGGATTATCGGCTCTCCTGTCGAGTTTCTCGCGATACCGATAAGGTAGAGCACCTTCTCAGTCGGAGAACGGCATAAGTGGAACGAGACGAAGGGGTGCATGCATCCGCATCTCAACGTGACGTGTAGAGTTTGGGACGAGTAGAAAATCTGGCCACGGCTCGCATACATTGCGGAAATGGGATTCAGAACGAATGAGGGATGACAGGATAGATGCTCCTGGGACGAGCTCAGGTGGCTCTGATGGCTCGATACGTAAGCCTCCGTGTAATTCGTAATCTATCCAATACAAGAATATGTAACATCGCGTTTGGAATTCCCGAGAAGGCTCGCTCACTTAGATGAACAGCCGAAGCGATGACGTCATCGGCGAGACAAGCCAGTAGAGTCACCAAAAACGTGGCTCGCAACGTGAGAACCTTTTTGAGGGTGCCTCGGCTCCCATCGTCCACGTCGGGACGTAGAATTGAGGAATCATGAGTAGAGGCAATATCCATGACAGAAAATCCAGTTATCATCGTTCCAGAGTGCGCTCGACAAATGATAGTTCGGAGGCATTCACGACGTCACGCATAATGGCATCACGCAGCGCCGTTGAGCACCGCGCACCCCGTCCCAGAGCCCTCCTCTCTTTCGCTTCGAGCTCTCCTCGCCAGGCTGGCAGAGACTGCTTTAAAAACCGATCGAGCCGTATTTAATCTTTGATCTGAGCGTAACCAGTCCTCAACAAGAATAGAACCCCTACTTGAGAACTCAGCCGGTCTGAATTGCATGGGTAAGTCCAGAATCAAGTCATCTCGGAATCCCTCCAAGTGGTCGCACCTCTCGTGTTTTCTTGCCCTGGCAGCTCACATGTACGTTAGCTGTGAAAGAAGACCTGCGCTCAGAGAATCGCTCTCCCGGTCGTAGGTTTTTGGTGAAGTGTCCCAGAGTGATATTTCGACCCTTTTGCGTGCCTTCCACCTGCATATTGGACTGTTTCCGACCGGCACCCTGTTGACCCTGGCTTGCGCCTCGGGGCCTTCTCGGGGGGAAGGGAGGGCTGTTTGGTCAACTCGCGTCGCTGAAATTGAGTGTGTTCGTTTCTTCGACCGATGGATCGTATTTAAGTCATATTGTTCGATGAGATAGATTGATTCGCCAGATTGTTCCGCGCGCGTGTGTCTGTCGTGAGGTTACCTTCGGCCGACAGTGATCCGAGCGTGACAAGCTGACGTGGTAGGGTCGGAATCGTCTTCAGCTGCCAAGGCCACGTCGATGATATCTGCGAGAGATAGATGTACTCCTCATTCGAGTGAGAGGATCTTGCGCTCTCTTAGCGTTTGCTCACAAAGTTCTCCCCATAGTGGATACTGGGCTTCTATCGACTTCGGCGACTCATTTGACCATTCGGAACTCGTACGCTGCCGTCAGCCGATCGTCGCTCGACACGGTTGAACTCAGTGAGTCGGTCATTGTCCTCACTGCGGTCGTCGTCGGTGAACTTGACGTTGCGAAATCGGGAGGGTCCCGCGCTTAACCGTAGCCCGCTTCCGGATACACGGGCTTCTCGGATATATTCTCTGGGGAGATTAATGCGGAAGATCGCCGGGAATCGGAATTCCCATCTCCGGATAATCAGTGAAATTTTGCCTTTGCAGCTCAGGCGTACAGCAGCGAGATCGTGGAGTACGCCTCTGGCGATGCTATGAGCATAGCCCATCTGTTCGCCTCGCAATGGCCATCTTGACTCGGAACCGCCAGTGACGATAACTCTTCTCGCCAGTCCACCGTAGCTCCTCTAACACCTCTCTCGGTACTGGCCCTGCCACCTGCTTTCAGCGGAGTTGGCAGACCTTCACTAAATCATCATTTGAATCAACCACAGAAAGAAGCTCATGGCCGCTATGAATGGTGAGTAGGATAAATTCCCGGAAGATATTCCGCTCGCGGAATTCTCTCAAACGGCTTCGCTCGTCAGAGAGCTCCTCTCGATGTCATGGGTGCCATTGGGATCCGTGAGTTATCGGGATCCGGTGGAGATCCGCTTAGGCTGCAGCGGAACGGAATTCGAGCTCGACAGTTCCGATTACCGTCAACTACGTTATACGCAGTTGGCGTCAAGCTCGACTTCGAAGCTCGTACTGATTTCTTCTATGTCGAGTCAGACGCCAAGAGAATATGGGTGGGCTGTCTCTCCGGTGCCTCTGGCGTCAGAGAGCCTCGGAAACTTCTCTAGACGAGCACAGCGCGCGACTATCATAGACTGGCACGGGTATCAGACCAGAAGACTTTGAAACAACTCTAATCTCAATCCATGCTTCCAGTCCTCCGTCACCGAGCCTGTCATCATCGTCCTCTGAAGATCTTTCGGAGTCGAACAACGGCGCCGCGTCGGCCTCATCCAGTGAGGCCAGCGGCAGCGAAGGCGGTGAAGAGGACGATGAAGACAGTTCTTCGCAAACGGAGTGCGAGGATGAAAGGACGCATCAGCTGAGCAAACTGACCCGATGGGGCTTGAGCCCACCGGTCTGGAGCAAGGATTCTCAATGGTCTCAAGTCGCGACCTTCAACGAGTTCACCGCTATTCTGGCTCAGCTGCAGGACATTCTGACGGAGCAGCTGCAGAAAGACAACTACAACACTTTCGGCAACCTACTGCACTTCTACAACGAGTTCAGAGCCAGCGGAGTTCCGAACGTCGAGAGCTTCTATCGAAACTACGAAGCCCCGATCGTCAGCAATGGTCTGTCGTGCGTCGGCCTGTCCTTCCGTATACGAGATGCTATCGTAGAACGTCTTCCTACGCTAAGACGTGCGGTGGTTCTCGCCTCATGTGAAGAATGGGTTGAAGAACTCGATGAATACGTGGAACAGCCCGATCCTGGCATAGATACGGTAAAAGAGCACGTGATGCTCGCAGTCCGCATTCTATGCCAAGAAACAAATCAGAAGGCCCTGGTCATTCTGGACAGCGGCTATCACGTTCCGAAGACCATTGTGGTGACATCAGATGGATTGGAGCCTCACACCGGGAGATTCGTTCAGAGCGATACGCAGAAATCTCGTAAAGAATACGAGTTCCGTTGGAAAAACGACAACTACATCCAATGGGTCATAAGCGAAACTCGCAAAGGGCACACCAGTGTGGGTATCGATTTTAATGGTTACATTTCCAAATCTTATCGGAGGGGTCTCCCAATTCGTAGATTAGTACAGGATCCTGGAGTGAAAAAAATTTTAACATCCTCTCCAGACATGGAACAACCTCATATACACCGGGGGAAACTACGGATCTTCGCAGGGATACTCGGAGAAACGGAATTTGATCTACGATTTCCGTACCGTGGTAGCGCGTGATGCCGGAGGTCCTTGTGCAGGCGTTTACGTCAAGTTCAACGAACCTAATTGGAGTGCCAGCTATACTCTTTTCTACAAAGTAAGCTTCCCCGTGATCTCCGAACTCCGAATTTGCATCGGTCGAGAGCGAGACTGATCGAAGTTTGTTCCAGGACCTGAACGGACACCGAATCGAAGCTAAAGTACCAGTGCACTCTGTTCTCCAAGGTGCTCACATCCAATGCGCCGGCGAGATCGCCAAGAGACTCCGGATCTCTGATGATAAATTTCTCATTCTGCTGGAGGACATGGCTCGTATGTACGAGGACCGTCCTTTCATTCGAGATCTGCTGTTCTTGAACTACGCCGTCGATCCCTTCGACCAGGCGAAACCTCTGATTGATTAGATGGAGTTTTCTCTTCTTTGCGATTGCTTTGACATTCTCTATATAATCGATCGCCGGAATCGTGGAAGAACAGATGCGAAGTGTAAGGCGATCGTCACCGGCCGTACGATCCGACATCATATCTCATCATCATGGTCTCGGACATGATTCTTCCTGTTTTCACCTGTGAATTTGTTGGGGACGAACTCTCCTAAGAGTTCACGGGATATTTGCAGCTTCGCTAGACTTCATTGCTTCGAGTTCGCATTGCTGAGTTAGATTGCCCAAAAGCACGAATAAAACTTGTTTATTTGGAAAATCAAAGAGCTCGTTCCCTCTTTCCATCTCACCCTCCAAAATGAAAAATTCTCCGCGAGGTCGCGCGACAAGCGCCCTCGAAGTATGATTCATGATGCGATGTCGCCGGACGTTATCAGGGAGCATGGTCCGAGGCGCAAGGGTCTGGGTTCACCCTCGACAGCGATTATGAGACGCGTTCCCTTGCCGCAGGATGCGAATTCAACATCGATTTGTGTCGACGGGTCAAATCGGCCACGCCATACAGAACGCCCGCCTGCGGGCTTTCAGACCGAGAGCTCGTTGCATCACTGCCCGAAGTTGAAGTTTTCCATCGTCCCATCCGGTCTGACCGAAGCGTATCAAGCGCCGCGCATCTCGAGCGAGTTCGATCGTGGTCACAAAAAAGCGAACTCGTCGAATTTCTCCTCTCGATACATTCGGAATTACAGCACAAACGACACCATGTTCTCATCTTTCACTCCCCGCCGGATCGAAATAGAGAAAGAGCGTTCGAAAGCCGCGGGAGTCTGCTTAGCTACGCGAATGGCAAGGAGACAACGCGGGAAGAAATCGGCGAAAAATCGCCAGGGCTTCCAAGATAGCGATTGTACACGAGAGAGCTACCCCGAGGAGCGAACAGGAGCCTCAAAATTCGGGCTTGAGCGGACTGAGGAATGGCAGTAGCTCGTAGCGGCATCACGCGTGACGGCTACCTCATCGGGAAGAGCTCCCGGTCCCGTCAGAGTATTTTCGGAGCCATGGATCCGGACGATGTTCTCAAAGTGCCTGTCCAGGAGTATCCATCTTTCTGTTCATAGGTTCGAAATTTAAGAAATTCTGCTTCTGCTCCATGCTACATCAGGATGCACCAGAAGTCGGAGGAATCTTGAGTAGCCTCGCTGTGGTGTCTATGACGGTCCCCGATAACATATCGGCCATTAATTTCCTTGAGCATCGATAGGCCGGGGCCAGTTAGGTATTTCCTCCAATGTTCTTATTCATTAACATCCACGAAGTTGAGCTAGCCTAGTGGGCTTCGCAAGTACGCTGAGTAGACACGGGAAGTACGAGGAGCTCTCGGGTATCTGGAAAGAAGAGCCAGCAGTCTGATCCGAGGTTGAATCGGTGGCCCATCCGCCGATACAGCATCAATATGCGATGCAGAGCCGCATGCGATATGGAGACCACCTAGGGCATCGGCGATGCGTCGTTCGGATTGTACTTCAACATTGTTCGTCTGAGAGCCCGTCAACTCATCCGCGGCAAGCAGAACCGAGTACCAATCGGTGGATGGGTGCAGCGGAAAATTACGTTCGCCAACCATTTCAGCTCATCTGAGTCGTCACGACAACTCTGAAACGAGTCCCGCGAGCTCCGAAATTCAGAATCTGATTTCGCATCGCGGAGCCGTTCTTGGGTGACGAGAGTCTCAGCTGCTCGGGTGCTGATGTCGACGGGAAGCGCGCGCGAAACCAGCCTGAGCGGGAGCTTTTTCAAACTTTGGCGCCTCCGCCGGTCCGACCGCCCGGCCAACGGCTTGAAACATCGTGTGAGCGACGAGACGAGAGCGACTCCTTGAACAATTTCGGCGGCGTGCGGACCGCGCATTTTAGTGGTAATTCCTGAAGCAATCTGAACAAATTCGAGTGATACACCCATCGGTATGGACCTCCTCCAGATCCTACAGAAGACCCTCTCGCCGGGTAAGTGTGACCTCTATCAGATACTTACGAAATCTTTTGTCTGCCAACCGTCCGAGGAAAATCTTCGGGGAAGCCTGCATCGACATCGAACCGTTGCATGCAATTCCCCTCATCGTAGGATCATGTCATCCGATAGCGCAAGCCGCAACATCCGAAGCCGCTCGGAGATGGTCGCGAGAGGCGACGAGCCGACCGGGGGAAAAAGCCGTGCGATATCGAACCAGTTTTCAGCAGACTAATGTGAACGTATTGCGATTCCAGACAAAAACGAATTGGTTTGTGCCCAACAGTTCCTGGAGGAAGCAGCGAAGAGCAACCCTGTAAGTTCGTGTTCAATCATTCCCATAGAGCGGGTTATCGACTCCCGATTGGAACCCTCGCTCGAATTCATGTCGACAACGGACGACGATGATAAAGTGCTTTCGAGTCAACATTGATCTAACGCTGGCGCTGGGACGGTTCCGAGATCGGTTACCGGCGTTCAGAATTTCCTCTCTTTTCGTTTTTAACGGGAGAGTGTTTCTTGGAAAGGAAAATCCATCTGACATTCGACAACTCGATCAGTGGCTCGGGATTGCTAGCGACATGGCTCTGTAGGTCCGAACGAGCAGTCTCGCAAAACACGGATTCGAACCGTTTCGGTGCCAGTCAGTGTGTTGGTGCTTTGGCTCGGCGGTGACTTCCGACGCTCGTTGAGCCGGCGTGTGAACGCATCGGTATGACGAGTGTGGTCGATGGCGCTAAGCGGAGCCTGCGTTGTGTTCCGTAGCTATGAATATTGGACATCTCCGACGCCGTACTCTTGTAAAGTAACGAGTTTTAGAAATGGACTGTTGTGCTAGAGCCCACCGGAAAGCAAAGGCAGTCTTTTCGCGACCCTCTGTAATTCTGTTGCGCCAAAAAAAACATGTGAATTCTACCGAACACGATCGAGGATCTCTAATTGGCGGCCTAATTGCTTCTGCATCAAGGCGATGCGGTGCTTTTGAGTGCGGGCCGTGATGCGAAAACTCGTCTGGTGAGAGCGAGCCGAGATCTCCCCCATGGAGCCCAGAACGAATCCAATTCGGACCCTATTCCGTATTATTCGATTGCTCAATCTCTCTCGGCTAGAAATTGGCCTCCGATAAATGTGTACATACGAAATCGAGATTCCGAATAATCGAGCAAACATTCCCCCGAGAATCGATATTAAGATTGAAGTGAGACATCGAACGGGATAGATATCCATTCCACGAGGAACTATAGGACCCGTGACTCCGCTCTGACTCCAGAGACTTCAAGTACATTCATTGGACAATTCTCACATTTCAGCTCGAATTCATCAAATCGCTGACAGATGTGCTCACAAATCCAACCAACCCCGGACCTTGTCGTGTTGCGGCTGGTCTTCAAATAAAGAATCAGCTCACATCGAAGGACCCCGATACCAAGAGACTCTACCAACAGAGATGGCTCTCCTTCCCCGCTGAGCAGAGAAACGTCATCAAGCAAAACTGTTTGTCATGTTTCGGGACCGAGACCGAAAGGCCGTCCGCGGCCGCGCAAGTGGTTGCCTACGTCGCCATCGCCGAACTCCCTCACGACCAATGGCCGGAGCTGATGAGGATTTTGGTGTCGAACGTGGCGAACACGAACTCGACGGAAATGATCAAGGTGGTCACACTCGAAACAATCGGTTATATCTGCCTGGAAATCGAGCCCATTGAGGTGTTGGCGGCGCGTTCCAACGAAATCCTCACCGTGATCGTTCACTGCATGCGGAGAGACGAAACGTCCGATCGTGTGAAGCTCGCCGCTACGAACGCACTCCAAAACTCCTTAGAATTCAGCAAGAGCAACTTCAACAATGACAACGAGAGACACTACATCATGCAGGTGAGCCTCTCGAGCGCGAGCTCATCGACTCGATTCATGAATGACGATGATGAATAATAAATAAGCATCGCTCGCAAAGAAGAATTCGGGTGAAGAAAAATCTCGAGTTGACGTTCGCCGGCTGTAACGGTTGGGTTTCCTTGTTCCAGGTCATCTGCGAAACGACTCAGTCCACAAACGTTCAGGTCCGGGTCGCGGCCCTCCAATGCCTGGTGAAGATCATGTCCCTCTACTACGAATTCATGGAGCACTACATGGCTCCCGCGTTGTTCGCCATCTCGATGGAAGCAATCAAAAGCGACGTGGATGAAATCGCGCTGCAAGGTATCGAGTTCTGGTCAAATGTCTGCGAGGAAGAGATCGACCTCTCGATCGAGCTGAGCGAGGCTGCCGAAGAAGGTCATCCACCGGCTCGTCTGTCGATGTATTACGCCAAGGGCGCCGTGCAGTACCTCATGCCGCTGCTGACGCAGTGTCTCATGAAGCAAGAGGAACACGACGACGAAGACGAGTGGAACGTGAACAAGGCAGCAGGGGTTTGTTTGATGCTCCTCGCGACGTGCTGCGAGGACACCATCATTCCACACGCGCTCCCCTTCATTCAGGAAAATATCAAACACACCGACTGGAGACGTAGGGATGCCGCCGTCATGCTGTTCGGCAGCATTCTCGAGGGCGCAGACACCAAGTCGACCAAGTCGTTGGCCGAAACGGCAATCGGAGCTCTCATCTCGATGTTGAGCGACTCGTCGGTCGTTGTCCGAGACACGACAGCGTGGACGATCGGACGAGTTTGTGAGAACGCGTCCGCGGCCGCGCTCAACCCTCAGTACTTACCGACGTTGCTTCAAGAGCTCATGAAGGCGCTCACGATGGAGCCGCGCGTTGCGACCAACGTATGTTGGGCGCTCAGCTCGTTGGGTCAAGCCGCCTACGAGGAAGCGCAACTGGGCGATACGAGTAAAACTCCGGACACATACGCCCTCACGCCGTACTTCGAAAGCATCATCACGAAGCTTTTGGAAGCTACTGAACGTCACGATGGCATGCAGTCGAATCTCCGAGGTGCCGCCTACGAAGCACTCATGGAATTGATGAAGAACTCGCCGACGGACTGTTACGCCTGGGTTCAACAGATGACCATGATCGTTCTCCAACGAATCCAGTCGATACTCGAAGTTTCTCAAATCGCAATGTCCGCCTCCCAGCAGGAGAAAAACGCTTTCTTCGACTTACAATGCCTCCTCTGCGCAACTCTGACATCTTTGCTGCGCAAAATGACACCCGCTGACGCGTTGCAGGTAAAAAACGTTGATTCATGTCCGAGTTACTCATAGCTGCCGTTTAGGGATTTCCAGATTGTATCTTCGAGATTCCAAGCCTCGAAGGAGCTGGCGCGATTTATTGATCGTGATTTTTTTCAGGCTTCTGACCTCATCATGACAGCGCTCCTGCAAATGTTCAAGACCACCGTTGGCGCCAAGGAGAGCGGCGTGCAGGAGGATGCTCTGATGGCCGTGTCCACGCTCATCGAAGTCCTGGGCGGAGGATTCCTCAAGTATATGGAATCGTTCAGACCATTCCTCGTTTTGGGTTTGCAAAATCACCAAGAAACTCAAGTTTGCCTGGCAGCTGTCGGCGTGTGCGCTGATCTGTGCAGATCGATGGGCATGGACATGCTTCCGTACTGCGACGAAATCATGACACTTCTCTTGGAAGCGTTGAACGATCCCGCTCTAGGCCGGAACGTAAAGCCCCAGATCCTCTCGGCATTCGGTGATATCGCCCTGGCCATCGGTCCAGGGATCCAGAAATACGCGGAGGTCATGCTCACGACGCTCTCGACAGCGTCCACAGCGCAGGTCGACCGGACGGACTTCGAAAATATCGAGTACCTAAATGATCTTCGAAATGGATGTCTCGATGCCTACACGGGAATCCTCCAAGGTCTCAAGGGCGAAAACCCGAACTCCAGTGGTTTGCATATTCTCCATCCGCACGTAGAATTTATGGTCCGCTTCATCATGTCCATCGCGCAAGACAACGAGAAGAACGACTCGCTCATTGGGACTGCCGCTGGACTCGTTTTGTAAGTGGAAACTCTCCCCGTACCGCATGACTCACGTTCCGACCGAGGGTCTTCCGGACGGTAAAGGAGCCGGACGTCCATTAGTGATTTCGAGCTAATTTCGCTGCGGATTCTGACTTCTTCACGTTTTTTCCAGCGATCTGGTCACAACGTTCAGCACGGATGTGCTTCCTCTAGTTGACAACGAAATCATCAGCGACTTGCTGACCGAGGGCCGTCGATCCCGAGTTCCGAAAACGAAGAGCATGGCTGTGTACGCGACGAAGGAAATCCGAAGGGTCAAAAATGTTAACTGTTAACCGTGAGATGTGAGAGCTGATGACAGAACCATCGTCGGCCCGATTTCCGATAAGAGCGTTCTTCAGCGTCGGATGTAGAAATTGTTGCTTCTGTAGATAAACATCGCACGAACGAGGAACGAGGCCGGAAGGGAAGAGAGAAGTCCGAATAGGACGACATCCGAAAGCGAATTTGAGTCAAGTTTGGAGACTCGCCGAGCCGCGCTAGAAATTGGTCAATTCCGCAGGCCTTGCTCAAATTCTCTCGCAAGATCTAACGGCGTTTCGGAGAAAACTACGAAGACAGCGTAATTGGTTCAGATTGATTGAGTGATCAATTTATTCATTGATGAATGTACGTCCGACCGACTGTTTGGGTACTGGTGGAAATATGGGAGGGCGAGAGGGCATTCATTCGGAGGGATGTTGGATGCTTCAGTGAGAGATTGGGGGCCGAATGAATGTGGGAGGACGCCCGAGCGGTCGAGTGTGTATGTAAAAAACAATGTATTTATTATCAATCCAAAACAAGGAAGACCGGAGGATTGAGTGCGCTTTAGAATAAGGAAGCACCCCTGAACGATGATATCAGTTACGACCGTTGGAGGAATGGCACCAGCGAGGACAATTACGAGAAACGCGACGACAACAAGCGTCTCCGCTGCAGCACGATAAAGAAACAACAACAACAACGGCTACTTCTTCAACGACCACTGAATTATTCTCGACAATTAACTGTTGCTCGTTACATTTGTTGCTCTGGCTGACAGCGTTCAGGTTCAAGCCAAACAATGGAATAAATACAGATGAAAAAACAAACACAGAGATTCTGAATAAAGTCGAAACCTTTTTTTTACCTTGAACACATCTCCGAGTGTGACATGCTCAGTGAAATCGGTGGTAATTGACCTCCGTGATCTCAAGAGGTAGCAGGGGTAGGAGCTGCAACGAGCGCTCATATTTATCCCCGAAGGTGAACAACTGCCTTATTGGGACTGGAAGGAAGTTGGAGATAATCCGAATCACCGAGGAATCGGCTTCTCTCCCTCAGCGCCGATTACAGTCGCGACGCGGCGCAGCCGATCCACCTTGCCGCGGGGGAGATGAAAATGCCGTCTAGACTCGGAGAGTCACTCGAGAATCCGCCTCGGTCCTCAACAAGGACTTGTCCGAGTAGTATCTTTCCGTCCATCAGTGTCGGTCACCATCTTGAGGTCTAGACCTCGAGGGCCAAGTCGTTGACCGGGACGGCAAAGCTGTTCCCGGAGCTGATTCCAAGCTCTCGGACTGGGCAGGGTGAGGTCTCGAGCGACAGAATCTGTGCATGCCGCGGATTTGCGATGGGAGGAAGATGCTCTGTGTAACTATCGGCAAGATCCCGCAGATCTTGCATAATCGTGATCGAGCCTGAGAGGGCCAGTGCTTTCCCATCACGAGAGATCCTACGGAGATTCACAGTTTTCGAGAATCAACCCAAAGGATTGGAATCGGATTGGACTCGAAACAACTACATTGAGAACGTCTCTCCAAAAGACGCCCGGGAATACTACGGAATCCCTCGGGGACCGACGATGATGTCTCTCCCGAAAACTGGTCTCATCTGCCGCTTAGGATTCACAGTTCCGAGCCATCGCCTCAATTCCACCAGGATCCAAAACTCCAATCTTCAACATCGGAGCCTCGGATGCCCAGTCGGGTCTCTGAGCTGCCGACTCTTTAGCTTTCCCATTTATCCCCTCCGCTGTTCAAACTCGGTCATTACTCCAGAGATTCCATAAGGTCGCAATGATTAGGCAAACAAATCATATGCGAGCGTCCGATGCAAAATCCGGTCCTTCTTCGAGCATATGGAAACGATTGAATCAATAAGCCGGACACGGAGAACGCGGAACGTTGCCCGATGGAGCCGAAGCCTCGTTTATGGATACTTTTGATTCTCAGTCTCATCGATCGAGGGACGTCGATGTCCATCGAGAATTTCAACTTCTGCGGTGAGTGCATCGTGAATCCCATCGGAAAATGTTCTCCTCTCACTCCCAAGTCACTGAATGTCTTGCGTCTCCCACAGCCATAACTGACAAATTGGAGCAGGTCATGGATTGTTCTGCAGTCAGGGGTCCACCGAAGTCAGTGGCGGTTTTCAATCGACGAGCTTCGAGCGTGCCAGGTGAGTAGATTTTCGCCCGCCCGAATCTCTCCCCGAGCGAAGCTTCCCTGCTGAACGTCACATCTTGTTCCAGGTATGTCGAGACTGGAGCTCGTCGAGACAGTGTGTACACTCCACAACAACGCCGGTCAAACTCTCTACAAAGAGCTTCGCAGAGAATTCCCGGAGGACGAACGTCCTCTAACCGATAAGGCTGTATTGGAGTGTCTGGATCTCGCCGGGATAAAATAGTGCGGTAATCGAAGAGGACCGCGATATCCTGCGCCTTGTACTCCCCCAAAACGTACCTCTAAGCACTTCAAGAATCAGTGTATCTTATGGCGTTCGAGGAGATCTCCATAATGCGAGAGCGACCCCGTCCTCCAGGTCGCGTCTTCTTCCAGAATTCCTCGTTTAGCGAAAGAGCGGGTGCGGAATCACAATGCGATTTCCGCGATAGCTCGTTTTGCTTGGAACCCTCCCTGATGTCTGCCGATGTTCTTCAACAGACCCTGCTTCACACCTCGTTATGACTGTTGTCCGATATTCACCGGGATGTCGGCACGAAACGCAAGCCCGAGACGTCAGCGCGAGCACGCACGCAACCGACGACTTCGTCTGTCGGGAAAAGCACTTCCCGGGAAACATGACGCGTTCTGTGGCGGGTCACTCCCATGTGTATGCTTCAGAAGAAATCCAAGTCCAGTTTCCAGTCATCAGAATTCAACGGGTTCCGGGTCAGCGTGTTGGTGCTCTCCGGCGATGTTGATTCATTTTTTGAAACATTCGGAACTGGTATCCATACAAGAGGAACCGTGCTGCTCTTAAGAGCGTACTCGCGCTTCCTATCGATATTCCAGAAACTAGTTCCCTCTGCACTCGCTCGGGAGAATCACTTCCTCATTCCGACAAGAGCTCTGTGACGAGCTTCCACGGATAGACGCAAATCGGTCGCATAACGGAATAGAGTGGCATGAGCGATCCGAACCGATTTCTGGCGAGATAAATCGACGATTCTCTCGAGGCATCTGCGATAAGTGGGTGTTAATGGGACAACAAGAGCCTGTGACGTGATCATAGTCCGAGGAGTCTGGAAGCGTGAAAATAACTGCCGGGAGACTCGTTGAGCACCTCTCAGCCGCGAAGATACCGATCGACACTCTTTCGAATGGCATTCCTCCGGCTTTTGCGATGCGGCTGGTGCCGGTCGCGACGAAGTCACATTCTCAGGCCCATAGCTGATCCAGTGTTCGGTCTAATCGCTCGCCTTACTCCGCCGGGGCGGCTCGCTTGGAAAAATGAAACAACACGTTCTCCACCGCTGCCGTTTTCCGTTCCATATGCGACGCGATTTTTCATGTTCATTTTTCAGGTGTCGGTCAACGGTAGAGTAGAAACAAGAGTTTGGTCCATGAAATTATTTGTAGTTGTCTTATTCTCGTCGTCGACACGCACTTCGGGCCTCGGGAAGACAAATGACTTGTGAGCTCTGTTCCAGCGGTACCCCATTACACGCTGAAGTGAAATGTGGATTTGACGCTCGTCTGTTCCCCGCTGGGCGCTCAACATTGTATTCTCAAACTTTATGGTACTCCGGACAGCGCACCGCGTGCGTCAGGGGGAAGATAAGCGCGCTTCTCGCTCAATGATCTCCTATCCCCTGGTTCGAATTCCGGAACACATCCAGATCGACCTTCGTCAGGCGAATCCTTGTCGCTTCGGGAGGTGAGGCAGTCGAGCTCCATCGAGAGATAACATCGACGATCGTTGGTAGGCTTTCGCTCATGTGGGACTCACCGCGCTGCCTGACAATCTCTCACGACTGATCCAATCAGACCAACTCGTCATATTTCCGAAGAATATTCCGAACGGAACTGATTAATTTTCCAAATTCGTGGGCGCGGCCAGATCTTAGAGCCCGACAAACGTTCGCGCGCGTTCTCCAGCCGTTTGTCTCCTTGTCCGGTCACCACTGGATCGTCGGAAGCGGAGTCGTCGCCGCTGGCGAAGCATAATTGGAGCGAATTTATCAAGAAATTATTTCATTAATTCGACGGCGGCGGCGCACCGTTTCTGGCCGGACGCTCGAACATTGCGAGCCGGCGCACTTACAACTGTGTGTCTTCTCCTGTCGGCTGTGCGGTTCGACCGGACGACCACTCGTCCGCCGTGCTTATCAAGGGGGCGATCGCGAGTCGGGACTCTGCGTCAACAAGGTGATGGACGTCAACTGCTATTAGAAGCCGAGACGGCTGAAACGTAAGACCGATGCTGTAACAAAACGGTCCGTGTTCACGCGACTATGCGTCAATTATCAGACATTACTCAAAGATTAGCCTCATTTATTTCGGAAACGGCCGGGAATTCATCCCGCAACCGAGGCTTTCCTGGCATCGACGAGAGCGGCTATCGACACGACGAGGTATTCGGCCAGCTAACGAGAGTCTCCGGTACATCTTTCTTCCAGGCGCTTGCGAATGGCACTCGAAGCATCGTCTCTCGATATTGATTTTGATTGGGCTGATTTTATCCCCCAGGTTTCGAATTTCTCTCCGAGTTTGAAATGATCGGGATTTCTTTCCGTCAGCTTTGGACACATAAACTGTATACATTGACCGTGATTTCCGCGGAAAATTTCGAGCGCGAAAAACGTAAGGTATCTGTTTCAGTACGGATATGCTCCGATCGTTGAGTCGAAGATCACCGGAAAGTTCGCCATTGAAAATCCTTCCGAGAATCGATGTATTTGAAAGCTCCTCGATTTTTCATATTTTTGCCAGAAACAAGCCTGAACGACTCATCTCTCGAGGGCCGAGATACCGCCTCAGTGGGTCATCTAATCGCTGAATTCACCTCGAATGACTATAAGGGATGAATGTATCGAAATAAGAGATATATGAGCGCCATTTAAGCTCGTCCAGAGCGGCCGCTCGGATTTTTCACCGCATTCGCGTTCCCTTCATGTATGAGCCCGTGTTGTGAGTGTATTTTTCTTCCCTGAAAGCGCCAGACCTTCCGTGGTCCTGTTTTTGAGGAAGACAATTATTTATTATTTATCAAGGCACTTTATTTTCCGTTGAACAGGCCGCATCGGCAGCAATTATGAAGCATTTCGGACCCTCCTCAATTTTTCTCGACGTTTAAATTAAGAGCCGCCATCGGACAACTGCTGCTCGAAGCGGTTGCAAGCACTCCACTGAGTGAGAACGCCCTTCGCAGGCTCCGTCGGGAGAGTTCAGACAATCTACATATTCTTTCGGAGACTTCTCCCTACAGATTCCAATATTCCGCTCGGTAAATGAGCCTGGGTGGAAGACTCGAGAGGAGAACGAATGGTTTGGGACCTGTCATCGGTGTCGACCGATGTCCAGCTTTTTCTATCGCAAAATCTCGGGTCTGTGTTCGTGAACCGGGATAATCGCATGAATCGAATCACTGATTGTTAGTCGTTTGGCGCATATGTCACTGCTCACAACGATGCTCATCGTGTGCACAGTATTTAGTATTGAATGCTGCCCCCTACGGAGCTGAGTAATATTGTGTTCGCAAATATGAAAGCCATCAAAAACTCGACTTGATGATAGTGATGAGCAGCCCGGCAGCTGTAAGAGATTGCAAGTGAAACAATTATACCGTCTCGTTGATCCAGAGCAACGCGGACGCGCATCG